ATTTTTTTTTTACGCGTTTCGACATTTACGTGGTACCCTGCCAGAAACGGAATTCCCACTTTATGCGATGCATCTACTCGGGTGAAGTATAATTTTTTTATTTAGCTCATAAAATTCATACAAATTACCTGGCCAGAATATAATTTACATTGCTGGAATTCTTACAATTTGATGATCATTTTGGATATAAACATCATAGATTTTGCATTAGACATACAAATTTTAGATCTAAGTAAGATTTTTGTTTACTCAGAGCAATTATGTTATCTTTTGTGCAAAATATATGACGTGTACTATATTCAAAATATTCCTGGTCTTGCAAGGAATCCAGCAATGTCAATTATATTATCCTAACTTTAGTTTGAGGTATTATTTATTACTGTACCTTAAAATCTAGTGTTTTCACCCAAACATTTCTCAGAGAGGGAGCCAGCTAGCGTGGGAAGAGGGGGGGGGGGGTGAGTCCATTATTTGAATGAACATTAACCTGGCAACTGTATTTCTCTTAAATATTAATTGTGTGTGCATACCATCATAAAATTAAGATGTTATTTTTACTAGAACATAGGTATTGTGTCGGAAAAAGTGGAGTTTGTGAGTCGGCCCAGTCTCTATTTCAATTAATCCCATATGTTCTGTTATTCCATTTACGCTTGGATTGGTAGGGGAGAGCTAGAGGGATGTAGCTACATGGACACAAGGCTGCCGTTTTGAGGAATTTCGTCTGCCCACAAGGAAAACAAATGACAGTCGGTGACGTCATGAGGAGAGCCCGTCCACATTCTAAGTCTTCTGAGACGCTATTGGGAAAATATTCCTCATTGTTCTAGAATTTCATAAAAAAATGTAAAGGACTTAATAAATTTTTCTTCAGTAATATATATATATATATATATATATATATATATATATATATATATATATATATATATATATATATATATATATATATATATATATATATATATATATATATATATATATATATATATATATATATATATATATATATGGCATTTTTTTTTATCAGCTCCTTTAGTATATATCAACAGATAATGTCTCGTATAAATAGATTGTGGACTTGTGCCCTTTATTAATCCAAAGGGCCAAATATATATGCAAGTAGTTTAGAATGATCATGGCAATTGTTCACTGATTTAGTTATTCTTGGGTTTGTAGGGGAGACTACACAAAAGTTGATAAAATCTCCTATTGCAGGTGGTGATGGCTCCAAAGCAGAGCTTCAGAGATGTATGGCTGAAAAATGAAGATTTCCAGCCCTGGTTGTCCCGGGTTGAGGACAATCCATCTCGGGCCTTTTGCAACATATGCAAGAGGGAAGTGAGTGCTGAGTTGACATCCATCAAACGTCACAAGACAACAAAGATGCATGCAGTTTATGAGGCCTCGGAAAAACAGGAGGTCCAGCAAGAGAGGATCCCGGTCCACCAAGGGAACTATGTAGCAAATGGAGTAGCTGTAGCAACTATTCTTTTTGTTTGCCTTATTGCCGAGCTTAACTTGTTATTTACCACTGCAGATCATTTAGTAGACCTCATGAAGAGGATGATTCTTGATTCTGTAATTGCTGAAGACATGAACATGAAAAGAACAAAATGCACAGAGGTTGTGAGGACATTAGGTTGGTGTGCCACCGAGGATTTATTAGATAAGCTTAGGGAAAATAAATTTTCCATTATTGTTGATGAAACAACAGACATTAGTACGATGAAAGCATCCTCTGTTCTTGTAAGATTTTAGGATTCAACCACAAGCAGCATTAAATCTGGGTTATTAGAGATGATCAATGTATACTTGTATGGTGATGAATCATCTACAGGGTCAACAGGGAAAAATTTGTATAATTTAATTATGAAAACACTAGAACCACAACGTATTTCACATGGGAACCTGATTGGCTTTGTTGCTGATGGAGCGAGTAACATTATTGGAGAACACAATTATGTAAGCAGCAGACTACGTGCCACTATTCCTGGTATAACCATATTGAAATGTATATGTCATTCTATTCACTTATGCGCTTCGGAGGCTACAAAGACGCTACCACGGCATTGTGAAGACATGATAAGACTCATATATACCTAAACGACAACATGAATTTAAGGAATTTCAATCATTCAGTACTGTCTAACCACTCAAAGTTCCGCATGTAAATCAGACCTGCTGGTTATCATTCCACCAAGCAGTTGAAAGAGTATTAAAGCAGTGACAGCCCCTAAAGATGTTTTTTACTTTAAAAGAATCAGAGGAAAGATAGATGGGCCATACAACAAATAGCAGAGAGTCTTAAGGACCCTTCACTTTTATTGTACTACAATTTTCATAATTTCATATTGCCCAAATGTAACAAGTTAAATCTACTGTTTCAGAGAGAGTCACCAACTATACATTTGTTACACAATAGTATCTCAGCTTTACAGGAATTTTTGGGGATATTTTTGTTGTCATGTTTTTCAAACGAGTAATCTTGATGCAGTTGATCCGAGAAATGAAGAAAACTACCTCCCAATAAACCAAATATACTTGGGAGCAACAATACATGGCCTACCTTAAAGTGAAGAATATAGAGAACTCCCTAATATGGTCAAGAATGTACAATTCAGATGTCGTACCTTCAAGTAAGTTTTTATTGATGTGTTCATTTCTGTCATCATATAGGGTATTTGATACTAAATCCAGGAAGGAGATGCCATCCTTAGACGATTTTGTGAAGGCGGTGCCCTGCATATACAGTGGTAGTATACAAGTTTTATATGATCAATGGAGAGACTTAGATGTGATTGCTATACCACCTGAGATTAAGGACAGCAGTGACATGGTGGACATTTATACAAAATTAGGGGAACTCAAGGATGGTGTAGGTGTTCCCCAATTTAAGGACCTTTGTACATTAGCTTTGCAGGTATTGTCTCTTCCAACATGCAATGTAGATGCAGACACTATTTTCTAAATTTAATTTCATGAAAACAAAATCCAGAAATGCTCTGCAAACTCCCTCTATAAATTCATTAATGGCCTTGTCTGAGGCTGCGAAATTCCAGGGTGGATACATAAATTTTACCCCAAATCAGAGGATGCTAACTTGTTTGATATTTTTTGTTCAGTTAGTGTTTAATGCTCCCATTTTATATTATAATATTATATGGTTGTAGGGTTTTTGTATGTGCATATTTATATTAAACTAATGTGCCAGTGAAATAGACATTATTTACCCAAGTACCGTATATCATTTTGCCAAGACATTACCATAGTTATACCTCAAATACAAGCTCTTCAATGTCCACTAATACCCAAAGAAAACGTGAGGAAAATTTACGCCAGAGAGTTGAGGATTAAACGGCAGCCCTGCATGGACAGTCTAACTTGGCAACTTGCCAAGTCCACATATACACACCCATGCTCTTCATATTTCTTGTTTTATAGCCACATATTTTTTTATATACAAGTACACTATAATGCAATAGAATAACTACAATATCATAAAAAAATACAAAAGAACACTGTGCAAATGAGTGTGTATGTGCATGAGTGTGTTTGTGTGTACATGACATTTTTAAAGGAGTGTAAATATTTGAACTCGCTCCTCTGAAGTACTGTACACCAATTCCCCCATTAATGTCATTGTTAGGTTCCTGAAAACCACGACTTTAAGTGAAAACGATTTTACCATAGACACAATCATATAAATAGGGGCCATGTTCTTTGGGTACATTTCTGGTCAAAATTTTCTCACAACTTGCCACAAATGTTTCACTTTCAGCACTCTCCACATGTTCAGCATTCTTTCCATACTTTCCATAATGCCACTTCTGTTATGAGTTAACTTTGTACCAGATAATGGAGTAACACTTTTAACACATGATTTTATTAATAACAAAGCAAGGAGTTAACTTGAGGGTAGACTCTCACATTTTTAATACATTTGTTTCTCATTATTTGAGAGAGAATTTCCCATTTTTATTTATTTGTATGTGTTTTGTGTGTGCGTGACTATACACACACACACACATATATACTGTATGTGTATATATATATATATATATATATATATATATATATATATATATATATATATATATATATATATATATATATATATATATATATATATATATATATATATATATATATATACACACACACACACACACACACACACAATAGAAGTAAAAGAAATTGCTGTCTCTAGAATGAATGGCACCCTGCAACTGGTGAATCATAATCCAAACTTTTCTTAATATTAGATTTATTTATGGAGAACAGGAAATTTTATAGTACTGTAATATCTCCATTGGCCAGAATCCCTCAAACCTGGAACTCTCCAATACCCAAAACTGAAATTTTCTCAAAATGATTCCCAACGCCGAAATTTTCTGGAAAATTACGTCTTTCGGAATAATTTTCCTAAGGGCACATTTTCCGTACCCCCCTCCAAAAAAAATTCTCGATACCCGGGGATGGGGGATTTTTTCCGGGTTCGAGAGATGAAAATCAGGCGCATTTTCCGGAAATTTCCAGGGATGGGGGATATTTTTCCGGGTTTGAGAAATGACGTACAGTAATGGGCAACTTCCGAAACTTATGAGAAAATTTTTGTTACCCGGAAAATTCCGGGGATGAGGGATTTTTTCCGGCTTTGAGCGAGTCGTCTCATTCCTGGAAATGCTGTGCAACCAATTGTTCCGGCTAATGGAGATATCACTGTACATGGATTCATGTTGTCAAATATATTTTTTGAAAATAAATCAAAGAAGTTTTTTATCTCCTCTGAGTACAAAAACACAAAAACAAAACTAAAAACAGTATTTGTCAAACTTGGAGTTTTAAGCTGTTTTATATATATATATATATATATATATATATATATATATATATATATATATATATATATATATATATATATATATATATATATATATATATATATATATATATATATATATATATATATATATATATATATATATATATATATATTATTTGGTATTAGAACAAAAATTGTACACAGTATATAAAAAGTATCAAATCAAAGACTTGATATTTTCTTTTCCTTAATCTCTATAAAACAGACAGACCTTTAATTAGGATGATGGTGTGTGTTGGTGCTTCTCAAACCAGAGGGCAGTATGGATAAGGCAATCTACCTCTGAGTCCACTTTGTTTAAAGGGTGACAATCATCATATAAGTGGAGCCTGGAAACAAAATAATAAATATATGTTAATGACAACTATAATAAGCACATTTTCCATGCATTATCTTTTCTTAAATATTAAAAAAGTACTCATAATACATATCATTGGCTATGAAATTATTCCTGAAATGAAGACGTGGATGGTAACGAAGTATATTTACTTCATCACCAAGTTCAAACAACTTTTCTTTCAATACCTTTACCCAAATAATGTTTCAGACAACTAATTTACTTATTTTGGGAGCTTCTCATTACTGTACAGCACTGTACTTTATTCTGGGTTCTGGCCTGTTACTCACCTCACCGCACTTGACTACACAACACAAGAGATAATTGTACATTATGAGTCATAGCAAGTTTGTAAGCTTGTTTTTAAGATAAAACGGTGGGATTTGTTGCATTAGCATTGTAAATAGAATGCACTACACTATCACAATGTGGTGCAATCTCCTTGCAAGTTATACGTTTTTCCACCCTCCCACCCACTCCAGCAACACGAGGCATGGTTCAAAACTCTCACATAACTGTTATGAAAAAGCAAATCACTTTGATAAACGAGAAATCTGCACAAACCATGAGAAAATGCAAGGGAAATGTGGATCCTGCATCATTGAAACACAAAGGGAGACTGGTGTGGTAACCTAACCTTGGAGGGCAGTCTACATAGTTGCCAGACTGTGCCGACGCTGTCAAATGTGAACCTTGTGTATCGTGTGTTCATATGCAAACAAAATTATTTAATTATAATTTTTGTCTTCATACACAAATATGCATATGAAAACCCTAAAGCAATTATTTTTATCATGCACAATTTTGCGTATGAAAACCCCAAGAGTGTTTTAAGGGGCTCACGAAGCTCATTGCACTCACTCTGAGATGTAACATGTCAGGGCCAGGGCTCTTATGGACATCTAGCTTTGACAATTTATTTCTTATACACTTCTGAGAACACAATGTAATATTAAAGCACCTGCTAGTGAGTACAGTATAGTGTACTGTATATGCACAACAATTTAAAAAATGGCTACTGTACAGTTAATTTGTACAGTGAAAGGGTTAAGGAAAAGATTGGTTTTCGTTCCCACTGAATTGTACCCTTTATGTGACAGTATTAATAACTACATCATATCCACTAAACATCCATATCACCTCTACCACACACCCACATAATCTTCACTAAACATCCAATGATCCACATCATATCCACAAAACATCCACTTCCTCTCACATTACTCAAACTGGGAGGCCACACTTGCCATGTACAGATACAAACCAAAGTTTCTTTACCCTCCTGGCTGGAAGGAAGGTAAAGCTTAGGTAGAAGAAAGGCCAGGTGAATGGGCATACAATCGTTCAGTAGTTTGGTGATGAGGCATGATGTGGAGGGGCTCACACACCAACATCTCAACACACAAAACACATGAGCATGGGTATAAAATATGATTCAAAACACTGACATTATGAGGCGCTCAGCATTAGAGAGGGGGTGAAGCAACACCCTGGCCAAAATGCGTTCTTTGGTGGATATCCATATTTTCACCTTTCCTCTACATGTTGGCATTGGATGTAACCCTCTAGCTGGAATAGAAATATGGTAGAAAGTCCTTCAAAAATAAGGTGTGATTTCGCCTTAGGCCTGGAGCTACTTATCTGGCTGTACGCTCAATCAAAGAAGGTGGCAACATCCCGTTCAGAGCGAGAGAAGCGCAAGCCAATGACAGCATGCCTCCCTTGGACCATACCCCCCGAGGAAGCCAATCACAATGGATTTACCTTTGCTACGTCACAGCTCCTCGGCCAATCCGCACACCCAAATGCTGCCTCCTTGTTAGTTTTGGCGCATTGTATAGCATCAGGAGGTTCAGTGTACTTTATACAGCTATTTTTGATAACTTTCGGCGCAACATTGACGTTAATCGTGTTCCACAGGCATGAGAAGTGCTGCGCAATATCTGCCTGATATTAGAGCAAGACTCGAGTGAGGCCAGGCCTTCTGATGTGGGTTCTGGAGCCTATTATTCCTGAGCATGTGCTTAGTGATGACAGTGCTCATGTGGACACCCCAGGAATGCCTGGTGATAGTGATTTTGGTATACTCATAATGCAAAAAGTGACTGCTATGTATCACAAGACCTTTTTGCAGACTGTTCCGGTACAGAGTTACGTGACATGCACTGACGGCAATAATGACGATGAAGGTGAAGATGAAAATGATGAAAGTGAGTTTAATGGTAACACAAACAGTGACACTAATGTATCACAACAAGAACATAAGAGACTGTGAGGAGGTAGAAGCGGACAGTGACGAGACATGCATTGACCTTGATAGTGATAAAAGTGAGCCTGACCCAACGAATGCTAGTGAAAGTGAACCCATAACTCAGTATTATAATGAAACTGAACTGTTACCGGCATCAATAATCAATGATTTAGATGATGAAGAATCTCTGTGGCGATTTTTAAAGAGTGCAGAGAAAGACTTTGATCAGTACATGATTGATTATGACGAGGCCGTTAAAGTTATACGCACTCCTCAGGATTTACGTAACTTCAAGTTTCTACGATCTTCAGGGATAATAAAACAAAGGAACTAAACAAAGTAAGATTGTATCATAATACTGTTTTTTACCAAAGATTATGCAAACTTTCTCCGCCTTTGTATTCATATATTAATTATGTTAAGGGAGGGGTAGGTTAATGGTAGTGGGGGGATAAGTGTAGTGGTGTTTCCTACACACTATTATACTTAACAATATTATAAATCTTTGGCTAATAATAGGGATGGGGGGTGTAAGACGAGTGTTGTTTTTGGTGATCATTAACTTGTTTTACAGTATTAGCCCACAATAATAAGAAAATTTTGCAGAAAAACGCGATTATTGTTGGTTTGAAGATCAAACAACCATACATCACGGGTAGTTATTCTCATTCAACTCGCAATAAATAATAACTATTGACAGTACTAACTTTCAGTTTTCACAGTTCGCTAGGAGAGGGATTGAGCTGCACGATAAAAAATTAACCCTCTAGCTTAAAAAAAAAAGTTATGGGTGTTTGAACTTTGAAAAACTTTAAACGAGTTTTTCTCAGCTTTTTCAGTTTGGCGCTTCAACCCCCCTTGTAATGCGGAGCGCCTCATATGGCATGTTGGTAGGACTATAATAATTTTATGAACAATACCACGTGCACTTAGACAGTCATTCCCCTCATTTATCTTTTTTACTCAAATTTGTAGTAACAGTATCATTATTATTATAATTAGTAGAACTGCCTGCAGAACATCTTTGTTTAAAGGGTGGAACATATGAGCTGTGGGGTAGGATGGAGGAGGAAAGGGGTCGCTGTGGTAGGTAGAAGGGGTTGTTAACCCAGTAACACAACATGTTATATCAGGAGTCACTGTCTATTGGATGTGACTTATTTTTTTATTTTGACCCGGTTGTTATAAATATTTTAATCAATTGATAATGCTGCTTACCCTTCACAGTGTGATACTGTATATTGGCCCACATACACAAATATTCACTTTTTTAGACTACTATTATTAAAATCATTGTTGAACACTCATCAAATTTCATATGAACTACATACCATAATTTTCCAATATCGAGGAATATCCCAGTCACAAAATTTATATGCAACATACTCAGCAAAGATATGAAAAAGTATGGAATGAGTGTGCTAACTGTGCATTGTATTCTTCACCTATGAAACTAATACACTATGCCAAAAGGTCTTAATACCTTGTCCAACCCCCCCCCCCCTTCCCTCCTGGGCCTCGCTGACCTCCTGCAGTCGGATTGGCATATTTCTGGCTGACGTCAGATGCTCTCCCATACTTATTTCGTCTTGTCTCAACCGCCTCCCTGGTCTTCTCTGGAACTCCCCATTCTCAGGCCATAGTTCCCCACAAATTTTTAATTGGATTACAGTCACACCCCTTTGTAGGCCAGTCAAGAATCAGAACCTCAGGGTACCGATTGAACTAATCTGTGACTGGCCAGCTGTTGTGACTGGGGAGCGGTCTTGCACCAGTTTGATGATGTTTGGTCCCGAGAGGGAGTAAGCTCAGATGGAAGGCAGGAGAGTAGTCTCAATAATATTTATATATTCATCAGCGTTAAGATGTCCTTCAATGGTGATAAACTCTCTGGGACCCAATGCCCACATCCAACCATGAAACAAAATGGTTACCTAGCTGCTCCTTGATGTCTCATGGATGTTTCTGGCATCATAGTGAGTGTTTGACATTTGCCAACAATGTCTGCCAGTCACTGCCACAGGTGAAAAACATTTCTCACTGGATGCGAAAACATTCAAAATTATTTTCTACATTAATTTAAGAAATCTCAGACATCTGCCATAACAACAAAGAAATATGTAAACCTAACCTTGTTGAGAATTTACTCCTTAATGCTGAGATCTGACCAGTCACTGCTTCATGCGTAAAACAAACACCTGAAACAGATGGTTCGAGACCGGACCAGGTTTCACAGGGCTCAGTGGTAACATACAATGTATACAATGTTATGAATACATTTGTTCTGCAGGTGCGAATCATGTCAGTGTTTTTAATTCTATTTCATACATATGTGTTGAGGTGCTGGTGTGTGAGCCCCACCATCATTGTGTTTCATCACCAAACTACTGAATGAGTGTATGTCCATTCGCCTGACCTTTCTTCAACCTAGGCTTCGCCTTCCCTCCAGCCAGGGGGGGTAAAGAAACTTTGGATCATGACTGTACATACATATGCATATCAGGATTTGGGAAACTTCTAGAACCTTTGGGGAGACTTGCAGTTGTCCGAGCCACAGAGGATAAACTTATAGCAGAGGTGTGTGCAGATGCATGTGTTCAGTACTTGGATTAAACTGAAGTAAGCCTAACTAGATAAATTGCCAGATGTGCTATAGCCAACCATGCACTGACTCGACACAATGTTCTTTTTGTTTTCTTATTTTATATTCTTACGATATCTTTATTTTAAATCACATTAAAGTGATAAAAAAAAATTCCACAACTTAGTTTTTTTTTTACATGCAACAATGGCAACATGCGAAGCCATCTCACAGGACACAGAGGACTGGTGACATGTGTTATGTTTTGAGTTGCACACTTTGTTCTGAATAACTGAAATCAAAATAAACAACAATGGTGATGCATTCTTGATGGATTCCATTAATTTTCTTAGCTTATTTTCATTACTTTTCAATCTTGAAAAGACTATAGAACCCTTTTGTCCTGAATTTTTCTAAATCACTAAATGAAGGATATATATACTTTTTTTTACCCACAATAAGGCATACTAAGACAAATTACATATATCAGTGGAACCACATTATGGAAAAACTAACATTTAAAAAGATCAGAATCACAATGAAATATTACACAGCCCCTGAAAATTGGTGGATGAGTGTGACAGACTTGGTCGCTCCAGCGAACAACCGTCAGCAGAGGTGGGAAAATGTGATGTTGTTCTCAGTTATATTTCCTGCCTCTGCTGACGGTCGTGTAATATTTCAATGTGATTCTGATCTTTTAAAATGTTGTTTTTACATATTGGAGTATTACTGATACATAATTTGTCTTAGTTTGTCTTATTGTTGGTAAAAATAAGTATACTGTATATTAAATGCATCCTCCAAAAGCGTCAATTTGCTACCAGAGTTTAACAGTTAATTCATGTATAAGATTTCTGATAAACTTCCTACATGCTCATGTTTGAAATAATAAATGTATGTACGGTATCTTTATGTAATTTTGCTAAATATCTTTCTCGTCAGAAACGGTCATCCCAACGATTATATTATTAATAAACTCATTTAAAAATACATCATTACTTCAGGATAAAATCGGACAGGTTTGCAACAGCCAATCAGCTGTAACTCTTAAGAAGGGGGCGGGGCATCTTTTCTCAGCTGGGAAAAAACGCGCTATAGGACTCATTCTCCTATCTCACATATTATATAAATTAACAAACTATTTACCTTAACCCCAAAAAGATAAACTCATACAGATACTGTATGCTGTTTTTTCTTGTGTTACCAAACTATATTTATAAAAAAAAGAAAGAAAAAAAATCCTAATGCCAGTTTAAAGTGACTAAAAATACTGTACTAAACTTTTTCATATACAGTACTGCTTAGTATACCAAACTTTTTTTCTGATTCGTTTTACACCCAAGAACCTCCCTATACCGAAATAGTTGCCCAACAATTACAGTACCCGGAAAAATTCTGGGGCTGTGCAATTTTTTCAAGGTTAGAGAAAATTCCTGGAACAGCTCTGCACCAATTAATCTGGCTAACAGGGATATCACTACAGTTATATGTATTTTTATTAAAGCCTCCAAGATTACAAAATGCATTTAGGATATTACAGTACAGTACTCCCTCTTTATCGACGGGGGTTACGTTCTGTAGACGGCCGTCGATAAAGAAACCGTCGATACCGTGATGGTTACGTAATTTTTCTAACTATTATTAGCATATGTTGAATAAATGTACCTTTAAGCATTAATGCGTTCCTTTACACATAACCTTAAATAATAGTGTATAAATAATAATATAATAAGTGGACAAAAATACTAGCAAACTTACGATTTCATTTATTGAAGTGAACATCGGTCCTTACAGTAAACAATACAGTGTACAGTATATACAAGTGTGATGATTGAGGCTTATTAAAAGCCTGACCAGTCAGATGAGTATGATGAGTCAAGGTCTGCATCTTCTTGAGGGGTGTGGGCAGGTACTGCGTCTTGTTGTTGTGAGGTGCCGGCAGCTTCTACGTCTTGTTGTTGTGAGGTGTCGGCAGCTTCTGCCTCCTGTTGCAGGATGCCGGCAGGTTCGGCGATGGCAGGCACTCGGCGACTGAAGAAGTTGGTGATGGTGGTCTGTGCTTTCTTGCTTCTCATTTCCCTCTGCAGTTCTATATATGGCAACATAACATTTTCAATAGCTCTCTTTGCTTTAAGGGACCTATCAAGGGAGGGATCAATGTCATAGAGACGAGCAGAGAGGGCCTTACTCATTCTTATTACTTCACCAAGATTATCTAAAGTTAAGTTCTTATTTTCATCATCACTCACTTCATCTTCTGTTTCATCCTGCAGCTCCACTAATTGTTCTAGTTCATCACTTGTAAATGGATCCCCAACATTTCCCAATAACTCTTCTTGCACCTCTGCCGCTGTTAAGTCAGAGAACCCTTCACCTCCAACTTCATTTGCCATAGTTATTATGTTGCGTAACTGAGGCTCGGCTGTTGGGAACCCTGTGAATGTTGGGACAATTTCAGGCCACAATTTTTTCCAACATGATCGGACACAGTTCTGCGACAGTTCATTGTGGCTTTCAGCGATGAAGTTTATGCACTGTGCAATATCAAATTTCTTCCACATTTCTCTGGGTGTCACATCAGCATCCTTATCAAGGCACTCACGAATCATGCTGAAAGTCTTCTCTGCATATTTAGCCTTAAACACGACAATGACTCCCTGGTCCATTGGCTGGATGATGGAGGTGGTGTTTTTTGGCAGGAAAACCACCTCAATGTTGGGGTGGGCAGTCTTGAGTTCTTCAGAGTGGCCAGGGCAATTATCTAGATATAATACCACTTTGAACTCCATGCCAAGTTCATCCAGATAATCTTTCACCTCTCTAGCAAAGCAGTTTTTCAGCCAATCCACGCACAAATCAGATGTCATCCACGCTTTCTTGTTGTTCCTGTGGAAAACTGGTAGCAAGTTCATGTTTTTATTTTTGAGAGCCCGAGGTCGTGCGGCAGTGTATAACAACATGGGCTTAATCATATGCCCTGCCGCATTCCCACATAGCATCACTGTCACTCGGTCCTTCGCAACTTTAAATCCAGGGGCACTTTTTTCCTCTTTAGAGATGTAGGTTCGGCGTGGCATCTTCTTCCACCATAGGCCTGACTCATCAGCATTAAAAACTTGTTCCGGCCTATAACCCTTTTGTTCTATGTGGTTAGCAAACTCTGCAGGGTATGCTTCCCCTGCCACAGTGTCTGCTGATGCTGCTTCGCCAGTCACTTTTATATTATGCAGCCCATAACGATGTCTGAATTTCTCGAACCATCCTTTGCTAGCTGCAAATTTTTTCAAATTGTCACCATCACCCTGATTATCACCATCACCCTGATTATCACCATCACCCTGATTATCACCATCACCCTGATCATCACCATCACCATCACCAACACCATGATCATCACCTTTAGAAAACTTATCATAAAGTTCCTTAGCTTTCTGCCTAATAAATTTCGAGTCAAGTGGTATGCGGCGGCGGTTTAGGTCCTCTATCCAAATGTTCAGTGCTTTTTCCATTTTAATGAGGGCATCATCACGCACATGGCTTGTCACTTTTGATGTCACTGGTGCACTTGAAGCTAAAGCGTGCTTCAGATCCTTTGCACGTCGTTTAATTCCACGCACACTGGATTCGTTGAGCCCAAAGTGGCGGCCAACAGCTGCGTAGCTCATACCGCTGTCGAGTTGTTTCAGCACTTCAATCTTCTCATTCAGCGTCAGCACTCGTCTTGCCCTCTTAGGTGTAGATCCAGAGGGAGCAGCAGGTCGTTTGGGAGGCATGGTGATATAAGTTGATGTGATGAACCACCAGCAAAAGTTGAAAATCAAAGACTGTTGCCCACGCGGCTTGGCTGATGTCTGTGTTCAGGGAAGGCGGGCCGCGGGTAGACGCTAGTCACGCCACTAGTGCCGCCTGGCGGCGAAAGTACAAACAAGGCCCGCAGAGTTCAAATAAAGCCAAAATAAAAATCTGTCTAAATAATCCGTCGATAATCGAAACCGTCGATAAAGAGGGAGTACTGTACTTGGTATCCATATGTCTCATAGCAAAAACTGTAAGAAAATAGAAAGCCAAATTCTACTTACTCTGTATGGACACCCCGAGCTAGTAGCATCTTGTAGAAATTCACACTCTGTGAAGGAGGAACACGGGCATCATTCTTCCCAACCAGAAGCAGGACTGGAGCCTTCAGAGAGTCGATGTGATTGATAGGTGACATCTCCAACATTTTGGAAAGCGTTGCTCCATCTGGCACTTTCCCATGTTGATGTGGAAAGCCAGTCTCAACAAATGTCCTGAGAACAAAAAAATAAAAATAAAAATTAAAGAGTAGAAACAAGCTTGAAGGTTAGAATTAAGCAATATAATATACAAGAGTACACTTATTTACCCACAAGTATACTTTAAAGCTGGCCACCCTTCACTAGGCAACTCCAGTACGTATAGTAAACCCTCAAAATCCAGACTATAAGGGGGGAACACTTGTCCAAAAAGCCGATTGTCCGTATCTTCTGGCGAATGTATTAAATGCATAAAAACGATAAATAATGGGGGAAAAAATACAGCACAGTGGTCCCTTGGTTAACGAACACAATTCGTTCCACAGAGTCGTTCGTTCACCGAAAATTTTGTAAACCAGATCTATTATTTCAATGGGATATTGGGTAATTGGTTCCAACTCACAGAAAAAGTATACATTAAATATAAACTAAATATAAACTAAATACAGTACTGTACTGTACAGCATACTGTACAATAATAAATAAAAAGCAATAGAATATACAGTTGTACCACGCTTTACGCGGTCAATTGAACCCACAGGGTACCGCGTTAAGTGAACAACAGAACATATGGGATTAATTCCAATAGAGACTGGCCCGAACCCCAAACTCCACTTTTTGATGACACACAACTATGTTGTAGTAAAAATATTATCTTAACTTTATGATGGTATGCACACACAATTAATAATTAAGAGAAATATCAATAATATTAGGTTTTTTAACACTTACTTTAGTAGAAAAGATGGCTGGGCACACGGGGATGGGGGGTTGGTTCCGAGGCAGAGGGCAGATTATTGGCCCTCACCTGTATCACTTGTATCAATTGTATCACTATCCACCACAGAGGCTTGCAGGGCCTCTTTGTCAAACCCCTCAAAGTCCATATAAGTCCATATCCTCACTATAATTATCACTATCACTGACTTGGGCCGGCTGTGGTGGGTGGCGGGTGAAGAACTCGGTAATGTTTTGATGACTGGGCGACCTTGTGCGCATCGTGCCCGTGCCGCTTCCCGCGTATATGAGTAGATGAACCGCGTTAAGTGAAAGTTCGGTTCTGGCGAGGCACCGCGTATATGAGAAATCGCGTTAAGTGAAACCGCGTAAAGAGGGGTAATACTGGACTGTATTTTAACTTACTTTGAGGTGTGTGTGTCGTATTCCCGGCAGCTTTGTTTACATATCAAACAGCTGATTGTAGAGGCAGTCGATGATGACATGCCATATTCTTTACAGAGTGCACTGGTTCTAATGCCTTTTTCGTGTTCCATAATAATTTCTGCACCGTATATTATCAATATGTTAAGTAAATTTCAGAATGACCAATAATTTGAATGTAAAAATGCAAAAATATTCAAGAGACCAACAAACTGGATGTTCACTCCACTGTAAACAAAGTTAAACCGAGAAGCATTGTTGGGTGATTCAATCAGCTGATTGGCACACAAAAACTGCTCCTGTACCATATAATTATCAATATGTTAACTAAATTTCAGAATGACCAATAACTTTTAACATAAAAAATGCAGAAATACTCAAGAGACCAACTTTCTTGATTTTTACTCCACTGGAAACGAATGTAAACATAGAACTGTTTACTGTACAGTGGTCCCTCGGTTAACGAGCACAATTCGTTCTAGAAGGTTGTTCGTTAACCAAAACCATTGTTTCAATGGGTTTTGGGTAATTGGTTCCAGCTCACGGAAAATTGCCTAAAGTCAACAAAAAAGGTAGTAAAGTACACTTACTTTGAGGTGTATATGTAGAAGGCTCCTGGATGATGATGATGATGGGAATTAGAATGGGGGTGGAGGAAAAGGGAGAAGAGAAGGCATTGGGGTGGAAGAGAAGTCACCCCATGGTGCCATTTCGCCCATAAAACTTTAGTTCACTTGGTGTAATTCAAGATTATTTTCTTTAAATCAACACCGCACTGCATTATATATTGTCATTATGTAAAATAAATTTCAAAATGACCAATAATTTGACTGGAAACACAAAAAAGCATTTATGTTGAAGAGAGTCTGAAGCATGATGTTAACTCCACTGAAAAGACACGGAGACTAACGCCTGTATGGTGTGTTGACAGGCTGTTTGGCGCACAAAAAACTAGTTTCCCTGTACAGTACTTAAATTATGTTAAATAAATATTTAAATGACTAAAAATTTTAACATAAGACTTTTAAAATTATTGAATAGTACAAACTTTTTTATATTTACTAAAATAGCGAGGAATTTAAGCCCTAGAACTGATTACTGTATTGGCGGACTAATATGATAGCTAGTGTGCAAGCAAAAACATGTTGAGGGGCGCTTGTAAGGAATTCGTTAATCGAGGGAATGTTCGTTAACCGAAGTTAAGAATCTTAAGGAAGGTAACCGAGGCACTCGTTAACTGAGGGATCACTGTATTGGCGGATTGGCCGATCAGCTAATGCGCACAACAAAACGTGTTTGTAGTAAGGATTTCGTTAATCGAAGTTTTGTTAGTTAATCATTCTGAAAATCCTTATAGGAGCCAATTCGTTAATCGAACCGTTCGTTAACCGACTGACTCAATTTACGTCCATCCGCACTTACGACCTGCTCTGACCGTACAACCGTCCGCCGCAGTCGTGACCAATTTTTTTTTCAAAAGACGCGCGTATTTTCTATACCAAAACGTTTCCGTCCTATACGAGAGCGTGGCTTGGGTCACCGCGTGGGAACAGCTCCCACTCAGTAAAGCGCTTAGTTGGTGTTTGGCTATCGTATCCTATACTGATCGCGCTGTGTACTTACGTTATTATCGTATTTAATTGACTTTATAATGACTGGAAAGCGTACAAGTGAGAGTGTTGGTGGTGCTCAGAAGAAAAGGAGACAGGCAATTACTTTTGAGATGAAAATGAAGATGATAATGCAATATGAGAATGGAAAAAAATGTAGCAACAATCTCACGTGACCTAGGTTTCTCGCACTCGACCATATCCACTATTCTGAAGGACAAGGAATGTATTTGTGATGTAGTGAAAGGAACAACACCTATAAAGGGAACTATAATTTCGAAGAAAAGACAAGGTCCTATTCACGATATGGAAAAATTATTGGTGATATGGATAGAAGACCAGATACAGAATCGTGTACCCTTAAGCCTTCTCTAACCATACAGGCTAAGGAAAGAAGCCTGTTCCAAAGCCTGAAGGAGCAGGCAGGAGATGAATGTGAGCAAACCTTTACAGCAAGTCATGGGTGGTTTAACAGATTTAAAAAATGCTACAGTTTACACAATGTTAAGGTGAGTGGAGAGGCAGCTAGTGCCGATGTTGGTGCTGCCGAAGCTTTTCAGGAGGAGTTAGATGATGTGATTGTGGAAGAGAATTATTTGCCTGAGCAAATATTCAAAGTGGATGAGACTGGATTATTGTGGAAGCGCATGCCTGAGTGGACATACATCCACAAAGAGGCGAAAACAATGCCAGTATTCAAGGCATTCAAGGACAGAATTACAATTCTGTTGGGGGGAAATGTTGCTGGTTTCAAGCTAAAGCCCTTCATGATCTATCATTCAGAGAACCCCAGGGCTTTTAAACATGTCAGCAAGCACACACTGCCAGTGTTTTATCGCAGTAACAAGAAAGCCTGGATGACCATTGTACTGTTTGAGGATTGGTTCATGAATTGTTTCATTTCTCGAGCCAAGGAGTATTGTTTGCAACAACGGATTCCATTCAAGATGTTGCTGATTTTGGATAATGCTCCGGGACACCCACCACACCTGGACGACATGCACCCTGATGTTAAGGTAGTGTACAATCCACCTAACACTACCTCTATCATCCAACCCATGGATCAAGGTGCTATTGCTGCCTTTAGAGCGTATTATTTATGTACGATCTTCGCTCAGGCTGTTGCTGCTACTGAAGGTGAGAAAATGCTCAAGAGAGTTTTGGAAGGAGTACAACGTTTTGTCTTGTATAAAGAACATTAGTGCAGCATGGGATCAGGCTACAAAACATTGCATGAATGGAATATGGAAGAAAGTCCTGAAAAGATATGTGAACAGTTTTAGTGGATTTAATGAAAATGAAGTTATTTCAGATATTAGGTAAACAGCTTCAGTTAGAAATTGATAATGAAGATGTTGAACAGTTGGTTAAAATTTAGCAGAAGAGCTCAGTAACGAAGATCTCATCGAACTGGAAGCACACAAAGATGCAGAGGAAGAAGCCAGTCTAAATGTAGAAGAAGGACCTGCACCCCCCAAAAAGTTTTCAGTGAAGCAAATGGCAGAGGCATTTGCTACAATTCATAAAGGGATGCAAATGTTTGATGGCATGGATCAAAATTATGAGCGTTATGCCAAAGTTGACAGAATGATCCAAGATGCACTTGCTTGCTACAGAGAAATTTAAAATGAAAAGAAAAAGCAAACTGTGCACTCGAAATTGGACATCTATTTTAAGAAGTCCCCCAGTGCTGTCTCCTCACGCCCCACCAGTGGTGCCTCTTCACTCCCTCAAGATGATCCAATACCTTCAACCAGCAAGTTACCCCTGTACATAAACCTGTCTGAAGAAAGCGACATTGATGACCCACCCAGCCCTGTCTCCTCCTCTGCTTCATCCAATTAATAAAGTCTCCATGTATACCTGTAAATAGAAAATTATGGGGGCCTCGTGTGCATTCAGCTGACTACATTAAAGGTAAGTGCTCAGTCACACTGTATCCATTCCTCATTATTTATTACTTTTACTGTACTGTATCCATTCCTCATTATTTAATACGTTTTGTGTATTGTATTTCATTGTAATTTTTTTTTTTTTTTTTTAATTTTTTTTTAATCTATGTCGGACTTAAGACCATTCCAACTTACGACCTGGATTTGGGTCCCGAACCCCGTAGTAAGTCGGGGAGCACCTGTACTGTAATTTATGGCATATAAGATGCATCCCCCATTTTAACGGGGAGTATTTCGGAAAAAAGTTTTGTGTGTACAGTATTTTCCTCCTGAACCATAGTTTTCTAAAATAATACTGTATATACAGTACCAGTAAATGTGAGGGATAAATAAAAATAATATCAACAAATAAGTTACATAAAAAAATACAGTATTGCCCAACTAGTAAATAAATGCCAAATAAAAGTTTAACACAGTCACCATTTGCATACATTCCCTGCTTCACCATAGTAATGGTGGCCAGCTGGGACGCTACCTCCCTAGCAACGCTCCCCACCTCTACACTGTGCACCCTCCTCCCACTCCCTCATTGAGCCAGCTAACTCGTATGCAGAGAATTGTATATTCCCTTTATGTGTTCGCCTTTAGGTCAATTATTTCTTTTACTTCTTTCACTATGTATGTAGGATAGTGTGTGCATGTCATGTAACTGTGCAAAAATAAATGATGAGCGTTACGGATACCTACCCGAAAATACGAGTTGAAAAACAACCATAATACCTCACAGCTTGGCCCAGTAACCTGGTGATTACAGTGACGAGTCTAACCTAGCAACAATGCCATGATTAATCACAATTAAACACTATTATATCAGTAAACACTAATAATAACAGTAAATCCAGTTAACCTTATACCGTTCACTAAATCTGCCAACCAAGAGGAATACATATGAATGGATTGAAAAAAAAGTCACAGTAACAATGACTGCATGATAATAAAAAAATAATGATAATAATCCATGGTAGCAGTGTAACCACCAGAAGTGAGTTGTGTAAAAACTTTGTCTACATATGGAAAGAGATACAGTGCCATGACAATATACAGGTACCTCTCGTTTTGACCGTTTCTTTTGCCCGTTTTCGAATTAACACGAGGTCCAAAATCCAAAAAAATATTTAATTTACACAGTTCGTTCACAATAACACGCAGGAGGAGTCAGAATAAGTTGCACAATAAGTTGTAAGTGTGCATAAAGAAGCGGGTTGTATAAACGGGGCTGATGCGCACTCCCGTCTTGCCTCAGACGCCTCTCTCACTCACTGTTATATATACAGTATCTTTATTTTATTTTCACTACAGTATGTATTTCAAATGTAACAATAAATGTATGGAATAAGTTGTACATAAGTGTGATTTGCCCTTGTGTACAAGTGGTGTAAAGAAGGGTTATATAAGCAGGGCTGATGCACACTCCCGTCTTGCCTCAGACGCCTCTCTCACTCAGTTTTTTTGTACGAAATTTGATTTACACGAACTCTTCAAGAACGTAACCCTCGTGTAAATCGAGAAGTACCTGTACTCAGGGGTGGGCAGGGTTCCGCTAACCGCTAATTCGCGAAGCTAACTTTCTCGTTAGCGGACTAGCGTTTTCGCTAACTTTGGAAACCATTAACGGACCAATTAGCTTCCGCTGAATTTAGTTCCGCTAACTTTAAGTCCGCTAACAAAATTTATACATGTTTGTTCCTGTCTGTTATAAGCGTGTGACGCCGCGACGCGTGTCTCCAACAGCCAGTCAGGCACGCTAGGCTGACTGCGGGTTAGTACGTGTAAATGTGAATGGAATTTTTCGATAATTAAAGTTTAATACTTTTTTTTACAGTAAATAAAGACTGTCAGTGTATGTTGAAAGAATCATAGAATGTAATTGTAAACTAATGTATAATTTAATTTCTCATTTATTTGTTAATTTAATTAGGATTTTTTTTGTGTCAATATATTTGGTTATGCTAAGTATGCATAAGTTCATAACCAGGATGTCATCCAAGGTGTGCGCCAAACAAAATTTTCTAAAAAACTTACTTTTCATTAAAGTTTAGAGTTTTCTGTTTATTTACATGACTAAGACCAACAATAAGTTATATAAAAATGCACTGGTATAATGTGTACCCGGTATGTGGCTGGTATTGCATATTTACATGAATAATGAATAAGGCCGATAGGTTGTATGAGAATGCAAATTAATTATTTGTGAAATTGTATACAGTGTACACCTTGATAAGTTGATCATCATCTGGTCTTGACATGATGCTATTTGCTACCTATGCTATACAGTATTATAGTTATTGGATTCGTTTAATACTTTCTGTCTTTTCTTACAGTAAATAAAGATTATAAAGTGTATGTTGAAACTTGAATGTAAACTAATGTTTAATTTCAATTGTTCATTTAATTATTTGTGTACACATTGATCATCATCTGACCTTGGCATGCTATACCTTTTTGGAAAGCTCTATGTCTAAGCTACAAGACAACATATGAAAATTTCAGCTCTAAGTCTGTTTTAAGGGTTTTAGAGCCAAAAAACAATCAAACCGAAGCTTAATTCATATAATAAAAGTTAGCGGTTAGCATTAGCTTCCGCTATGTTTTTTAGCGGTTTAGCGTTAGCGAAGTTAACTTTTTAGTTAGCAGATTAGCGGTTAGCGAAGCTAACTTTTCCTTTAGCTGTGCCCACCACTGCCTGTACTGTAATTCCCTTAACATACTTTGTTGAGAATATTAAATTTTTTGCATTTTGTTTTTATTGCAAGTTTAAGTTAGCCACATAAAACTACACACCATGTTAGTTCAAATCTAGATCACAGCAATATTACTTACAAATCAGGGTTATCTTTACAACTCAAAGCTGATCCAAAGTCACTGGAGAGGTTTCTAATGGCCATAGCTTTGTAGAGTTCCTACAAATAAGAAAGAAAAATGAAGTACCTTGAAATGAAAGGTGTATCTTACTTACCAGTCAGGAATATCTGTCACATTTGTCATGGTAGAAATATCTGTGACAGGGTTCCTTGCAGACACAGCTTTATAAACTTCCTGAGAAAGACAAGCAAACATCTGATTAGAACAAACAAATAACATCTAGTGTAACTAGGTCAGTAATCTGACAATAAATAGCAAGTACAGTGGTCCCTCGGTTAACGAACGCCTTGGTTAACGAAATTTTGGTTAATGAATTACCTTCCATAAGAATATTCAATTCGGTTCATGAAAAAAATTTGGTTAACGAATTCCTTACGAATTCCTCTCAACATGTTTTCGCTTACTCACCAGCTGGAATATTAGTCCGCCAACACAGTAATCGGTTCTAGGGCTTAAATTTGTTCCCATTTGAGTAAATATCAAGAAGGTTGTACTATTCCATAATTTTCCAAGTTTTATAATATTTTTTTTAGTCATTTTAACAATTATTTAACATAATTGAAGTACAGGAAACTAGTTTTTAGTGCGCCAAACAGCCACTCAACTCACCAAACAGGCTTCAGTTTGCATCTCTGGTCAATAGAGGAAACATCTTGCTTGAGAATCTCTTGAACATAAATTATTTTTACATTTTTACAGTACAATTATTGGTCATTCTGAAATTTATTTTACATATTGACAATAAATAGTGCAGTGTTGATTTAAAGAAAATAATCTTGAATTACACCTAGTGAACTTAAAATTTTATGGGTAAAATGACGGCATGAAGCATGGGGTGATTTCTCTTCCACCCCCACTTCCTTCTCTTCTCCCTTCTCCTCCACCCCCACTTCTAATTCCCATCATCATCAACCAGGAGCCTTCTACATACACACCTCAAAGTAAGTGTACTTTACTGCATTTATTTTTACTTTGTATGTAATTTTCGGTGAGCTGGAACCAATTACTCAAAATCCCATTGAAACAATGTTTTCGGTTAACGAAATTTTCGGTTAACGAACAACCTTCTGGAACGAACTGTGTTCGTTAACCGAGGGACCACTGTACATAAAAGAGTAACATAAACATGATACAGAACAGTATGTCAATACAGACTTGTCACATATAACATACAAATGTAAAGTATGCAAATTAATTATATTCATGAAATACAATTTAAGCACAATTTGCAGTTAATAAGAATGAAGTCCTAACTCCAACCCAATCTTTCTTTTACAACATATAAAGGTACAGGATCTATTCCTCCTCTCTTACTCATACCCTCAGACATTCTGCCCCTTAATTATACAGAGTGTATTGCAACATGATGTCATAATTTCAGGGGATGACTCCTGGGGTCATTACCAGACAGAAATGTAATGTGAGCATTGGTCCAATACCCAATAGTTAAGGAGCTATACTATGGGGAGATGTTTGTACTATAATCAAGGGAATTAAAACAATGTGACAAATAACCAGCATTTTCATCACATAACCCATACACAATGTGCATATCTGCATATTCTTCGTTTGTGAATGTCATTGGTGTATCCACAGCTAATCTGATCAATGGCATACCACTAGGAGAGACATATGCACACCCTCACCACAGTCACTGCAAGCGTAGACGAGACCGAGGCTCTGGCTTACGTGATGATGCTTTACGGTTTGTAATGACGACCTCACTGTTTCAAATCAGTTTCATAAAGCTTGTATACATATCCCTTAAACTATGCGGGTTTAAACATCGGGGCCCTCGCCCCTCCACAGATTGCACTACGGGTTGTATGGGGAGGAAGGGAGGTTGCGTATGTGCGTCTGACAACTTCCACCACTGGCCGCAAGTGTGTTGCCCTGAGTGCTACGAGTGCTGCCTATTCTCTTCATATTTCTTATTTTCGAGATTATATTATATTTACATTATTTCTAAGTCACATTAAAGTATTGAAAATGATTTTTCCACAACTTTTACAATGTCATTATGTTACAATGGCAACATGCATTACCATCTCTCGTAGGCCGTTGGTGACTGGCAGGTCAGCCAGCTGACTCTTGGCACGCATCTCAGAATTTTTTTTTTAACAATTATTCTAATCTACAAAAATGATATGGCTTAGAAACAGAGAATATAATACAAAACTATAAAATAAGAAAAATGAAGAGCATGGCATGTATGTGTGTGTAAGTGGTGGGTTATAGCTACATTTTCGACTCGCCAGCCTAGCTGCCGCATTTATTGTTGTTTTTAATGAAACCATATGAGTTGTAAAAAAATCATTAAAATACTTTAATGTGGCTAGGAAATAAAGAAAATATAATTTAAAACAAGAAAACAAAAAGCATGGGTGTGTTTATGTAAGAAGTGAATGTGTCTATTATCCAAGTATTAATATTTTTTATAAAACCTACTTTATAATCCTGCTTTTATTGTAACACCAAAACCATTTCATCAGAAATTGTCATGTAGATAGATAGAAATTACCATTGTAATAAATATATTTGCCAAGTAGACATGATACTGACAGCTCTGTCCTCTTGTTCCACCTTAATACAACCCGTGTTGTAGTGCTTCCCTCCCTTATCATAATTATGTATATCAACTCCACTGTAAAGTATGTATATACTTATAATATAAATGTAAAAAAATTAATAAAATAAAAATAATAAAAATAATGACATGATAACCGTGGTAACATTCTGATATGTTCTTATTACCACCATGCTATGTGTACTATTCCAGATGATACTAAATGTTACATAATACCTCCTTGAGATAAATGTACAGTATATATCAGGTGCCTCCAAGAGAGCTCAGGTACTCAACTGGCACAGCCATGTTAATATTGTTATTATTATTGACTCTATCTGTGTTCTTCTCGCTAAATACAGTAAACTGTTTCAATATCAATATTGAAGTGACAGTGACCTCGATCTCTATTCGCTAGACACCATAGTCAGTTGGTTTCTTCTTGGCTCCAACATGGCATGGCAGAATCTAATCTATTACACTTAAGGAATATCCCTTGTTCAATTCATAGTTAACAAATCCTTATAGATATCAGATCAATTAAATTAAGAGGCCTTTTTTTCCCTTGAGAAGACCATACATTATTTTGCCAATCTTAAATTAAAGTAACTTTTTCCTAATTGAGTCAGTGATCTTGAATTAAAGATGAAATATCTCTTGCCCATGGGAAAAACCACAAGTACAGTATGGAGTTACAGATAACAGAGAATATAGTATAAGATATCATACAGACACCAAAATATTATGGGAATGGGCTGATACACAAACACCACCTTCAAGCTCACCATGCACAATCCACTCTTAACATTCTTCTTGTGTGCCAAGGAATCATTTGTAATTCTAAGAGAATTTTTACTTACTGGATATTTAGCTGCTAGCTGAGTTACCAGATACCCTCCATGGGATCCACCAAACAGGAAGACTTTTGATTCATCCAAAACATCAGAAAACCTATTGTCATTAAAAAAATAGAATATGAAATTGACAGTGCTTGAGATTTATTGCATGCATAAAACAGAGTTTGGATGATTATGATCAGTATGCATTAAGTACAGAACCTAAGGTAAAATAGTTAAACACAACATAAGGTCATATGGAATACCGAAAAAAAAATTATGTCACTACTGGTTATTATGTAAACTGATTAATTTTCTTCTCAGCCCCACAACTTGAAAGCAAGACTGTTCAGCTTGGAGTAAAATATGTGTGAAAGAAAAGTAGACTGTTTCTTGGTCTATTGTGACAGTTGCCATTAATCAACAGATAAATACTGGTTACACACACACAATTTTACTTCATGAATCCCTATCTTCTGTGTTACCTTTGTATTTGATTATTGTTTTAATTAAGTTTGAATCAACTGTCACACTATTTTATTTAGAAATTAATTCTTGAAAAAATTTTCTTCAAAGAAAAAAGATAGATATCTATGGATCATTTTCTTAGGTCATATCGTAGCTAATAACCTTTTTTAAGTGGACAATATATTGATAAGTTATCAAATGTTGAAGAGGCCAACTAATTGATGCACACTAAAATACTTTTGGTCTACAATTCACTTCAAGACAAATCTTTTTCACTCATGCAAGTCTTTTTCCTATTACAGTACATTATATCTTCTGATAACCAATAACAGTTGTTTTCTACTATTGAAAATGACTTGGTGTACACTGCCTAATCACTTGGGTACATGATTCCCTCTGTGCTGAATAAAATTGTCTGGTGTTAGCCAAACAAAATATTAAGTGGTGTCCCCATAGTGAAGGGGTTAAAAACACTGGTCACTGAAGCACTACAACATTGATCAGTCACAGTTACTAAATGCCAGAAGTACCATCAATAGGACAGGGCCATCATCGGATACTGTATAAGGTGGCCAGAAAAAAACATGTACCCAAGGATGGTGAGAATGGAGTGGCAGTTTCCCCTTGAGTAATCAAGAATGAATAAAACCTTTCCTCCTGGCTAACTATGAACTATGGTGTTGTGTGTCCACTCATAGATGCATGAGCTCAACTTAAAGGAAAACTTTAATAGGCAATAAACTACATTACATTAAATAGCACTACGCAATTACATGAGCAGCATGTGTCGACTTCCAAAAATATACAGTACTACAATAGCCCATTTATCAGACTACAGGTACAGTCTCGTTCAAGATTCTTCGAACACTGCTGGAGACAGCTCGCAACTCAAGGCCGTTTGTTTACTATAGTACATAGTATAATATAATACAAAACAACAAAGCCCAACCATTAATTAAGCAATGGGGAACTAAGTAACCAATCACCGATCAAATTTTACATTCATTCATAATTTTTACTACGTACTATAATAAACAAACGGCCTTGAGTTGCCAACTGTCTCCAGCAGTGTTCGAAGAATCTTGAACAAGACTGTACATCCAGCATTACCAAAGTGTAACAGAAAAAAACATCTCTTCAAGCTCCTGTACAAGAAACTGAATAAAGAATCAAATCAAGTATAAACTAACCCTGTAAATACTGTGACAATACTGTACTGATCTACATATCCGACTGGAATGTCTTCATGCTCATTATCTGTATTATAAAACACCAGGAAATCTTCCACTAGTAAAATCAACTTTAGCATAGTTATTCTTCAGTGAACTAGTTCGCTAAATCGAGTGAAAACAGCAGAAATTTCAATTTAACGGAAAGGGGTGGCTTGAATTAAGTTCGTTAAATCGAGAAAATACTGAACTGTACCTGGAATATAACAATTACTGAGTATCTGCCTTGTCACAGAAAAAAGTTAAATCTAAATGATAAATTTATTAAATTATAAAGTTTTAATATGTGATTGTTTTGGTGTAAACTTTTATTATATGAGCGCTGAAATACACTCTAAAGAAGGTCACCCATTGAAGCCTGTAGAGTCAGTTCCAGTGGTTCCCAACCTTTTTTGGCTGCGACCCTAAATTTCCCAACAATACGGTGTCGTGACCCTCAGGCATATAATATATTATATAGCTTGAATGTTAAGCAAAAATTTGTTTGACTATGATTAATACTATATTTTTTTAGTTATCTGAAGGCCCCCGTGACCCTACTGAGGACACCCCGCGACCCTGATTTGGGTCATGACCTGAGGTTGGGAACCGCTGCTGTAGACCATATATTCTTTTCAGAAACTTAAGAGTAGTAAGCAAAAATCTAACTATCCAACCAGGAGCAAACTCGTAACAATGGTTTTAAATTAGACAAATTTAGATTTAGGCGCGATATAGGTAAACATTGGTTTAGAAATAGTGTAGTGGATGAGTGGAACAAGTTACCAAATATCATCATTAACTGGAATACGCTGGATAGCTTCAAACATAGGTTGGATGGATATATGAACAATAGGGGTTGGGTGTAAATGGGACTGCCCAGTATGGGCCAATAGGCCCGCTGCAGTTTCCTCCTTTCTTATGTTCTTCTGTTCTTAACATGCCAGCTAACCTCAAGGCATTTCCAGAATACAGTACTTCATTGTATACTCATGCCAAACTATTAACTATATCTATCCTCTCATTTCCCCATATCCTCAATATCATGAAGTTAGTCTTTGCTAAATAAACTGAATTTTTGCTTTCACTTTCACTCATTTACTCTTAAAGAGTACAACTGGTACAGTGTTCATCCAAATTCTTGCATATTCTCAGTAATCCCGTATATACTCGTGTGTAGTTCGAGTTTTTAAGACAAAAATTGTAGGCAAAAATTTGGGGGTCGACCTCTACATGGGTAATAGTTTTGTTAGATTGAATCCGTGCATGATGGGAAGGGCGAGGAGTAACTTTTAGCTTCAGACATGAAAAATATTTACCATTTACTGCCAGTAAACAATGGAAACGTAAAATATGCACCAATTAGTAATGAAAAGCTGTGCAGTGCCTTCAGCAGATGAAGCTCACCAACTTACAATAGGTTAAATTACCTTACAACGTGCTTTCAGTAGTCTATGTTGAAGTTCTTAGCACAGGCTAACTTATCATATCATATACGGTATCACAGTACCCATTGATCTACAAAAAATACCAGTAATAAAAACCTTTTCGATATTTCACACTTAATATAATACCCGGTAATCCACCTCAACCTCATATTGTTTACAACGATGCACAACGCACTCCCAGCTGTTGAGTATCAGCTAGACAGTACACATGTTTTTCGAATCGTTTTCAGTAAAAAAAACTGTTACATCACATGTATATTTTACCTTAACTGCGTCTGAATGAATATATTCTCAGAAATAAATAGTAGTTTTGCTGAAACGTGATGTATTTCAATGTATTTATGTTACAATGATATTCTATTCATACTGTGCTTGATATAATACATTCACGGATATGTAATATTTTTGCTGAAATGATGTACGTATTACAGTGGAAAGTGGGATAAAACCATGACGAAAACAACGAAAACAATCAACTTTCGCTTTCTTTCGTTGTTCAAAAGATGTTACCGTAATCGCTTTTCGAACGGTTTTCAGTTAAAAAAACTGTTGTATTACAATAATATTCCCTCCTAATTGACTTGAATAAATACTTGAATGGAAACATACAATATTTTTGCTGAAACTACCCGCATTTCAGTGTAAAGTGTCATAATAATGGTAAACAATTTGCCTTCAGTGCTCGGTGTTTCAGGCACGGCGACCCTCAGTTTATAGGACGTAGTGTCTCTTTAGTGAAGGTTTTGCTGTTCCATTACCCTAAAAAACTTGGGTCGACCTATAAACGGGGCATATCATAAATTAATGATTTCTTGGAAAAAAAAATCAGGGTCGACCATTAAACGAGGTAGAATTATAGACGAGTATATACGGTATGTTGTCTTAGATTTAACCTTTCAATTGCTGCATTAATGTACCTCCATTCTTCATCACCTGTCAACACTCCACCCATGATGATAAATTTGCTCTTTATAATCATTTACATTTATTCTACTGTCTCCAAACCTTTTTGATTCACTGTATAATCCTCTATATCTTGCAGAGTACAATACTATTAATTCTGTAAATTGCTGTACAGTATGGTACTCACTTCTACTAACTGCCAGAACTAACCTGCTTAAACACTGCAAGGTGGCTTTGTGAACGTCAGATACATCAGTCACTCCACAATGGCCTGGTAAAGAACTAACACCATCTTCACCAAAGCCAAGTGATCCTCTGTAATTTGGGAACACAATGGCATAGCCAAGTTTGACGAAAAATGCAGCTGCCATGTTATAAACATTTGAGGAAACAGTATGAGGGCCTCCATGTGGCCAACATATCAGTGGAGTCTTTGCTGTACCTGCAAACAAGGTGTAGATCTACTCAGCTTTATATGATAAACTCGAGATACACAATAATCACACACATATATATATACACACAAACAGTACAATATATTAAAAGTCGTGTATTCCAAAAAGCTCAAGTTGCACTAATGACAAAAACTGCTATATTACCATCATCCAGTACTGTACCTTCTTTATGACTAGTTGGGCCGAAGTAGATGACAGAGATAGGGATATCAGAATATTTAGGGTCAGGATGAGGGGTCTCATTTATAAACAACCAGTGTCCGCGATAGTAATTTGGCACCCCTGCAATCTCACGACGAGGAGTTACCTGTCAACACAATTAAGGTTATGGAAGTTTTGCCTGTATTGTATTACTTCACAATTACTTAGTGTTACAAGTAATCATCTTTTTTTTTACATGTGCTATAATACCATCAACTCCTGAAAAAAAAGCAATAACAAAAATATCAAAAGAAATTTATTATTGGGGGTTGGTGGAACAGTAGTGTGCAGGACTCATCAGTGTGGTCATAGGTTCAAATCCTTTCTTTCCAATGGAAATTAAGACCATACATGAAAGAGGATAAAAGATAATTCTGGTTACAGCTAAAAAATCCCAAATTGGAGTGCTCTTTTCTTAAGTTTTGTGGAAGGTAAATTTGGTATAATGTTACATTTTTATTGTATATCACCTGTATTTTTAAAACTTTTTTGTTTTCTAAGCTCTGATGATGGAAAAAGATTTTTCCGAAACGTTAGTGATTAAAGAAACCCAACTTAGTCAAGATGTTTGTGTTTTCCCTGGTTCTCCTCTTCGTTATGAAACTACGCTTTCCACGTAACAAGTCCATTGCTGAAGGTGGAACCATGGTCACAAAAGCAGGCAAAACTGATCTTAATCAGAAAAGTTTATGGTTATGGCTGGATCAAGCACTAGCTAAACTCTGAGCCCACGTGGTATGGGGACGCTACCCATGGACTGTAATGGACTTGATCCACTGGCCCGCTCAAAGTGTTTTCTACCTGACTGCATTTGGCCGAATTTTCCCGTGTTAGTATGGCTAAATCCGCACTCAAGTGAATATTAGCCGATGTTAAGCATCACCATGTGATATGAAAAAAAACAAACAAATAAAATAAATAAAAAAAAAAAAAAAATCAAACGCATTCACATTGAACAAACTATAGTTAAATGAGGGGGCAGTGTACCCTATAGTTTTGGAATTACGTACAGTAAACCCTCGAAGATCAGGACCCAGGAAATCCGGATTTCGGAAGACCCGGACAAAAAATTTGGGGATTCTGGGCTAAGAAGCCTCCTAAAAATTTCCTTAAGAAACATTCCCAAACCAGAGAAAAGACATTTTAGGCCTGTGGGCGCTGCTTGACCTGTCAGTTGCTTGGACACAGGTGCCCAAGGAGGTGGTAAACATAAACAGATTTCACAATTGTTGTTTGTGGGAATATTATTTCATTCACTCTAGAAATGATACAATGTTTATAATGTTATCATAGATAAATGCATTGTTTATATTTGGTAATTTCCTTTACCTGTATTGTAAATATGTGTGTATGTGTAGGCACACACACACACACACAAAACTCATACAAATAGATGATAATTTGAAAATCCTCTTGCAAATAATCAGAAACAACTTTATTAAAAATGTGACAGTATACCCTCAAATCTGTGCTCTATTAATAAAGTAATAAAGCACAGATTTGAGGGTATACTGTCACATTCTTAATAAATTTGTTTCTGATTATTTGTGAAAGTATTTTCATATTATTATTTGTGTGTGTGTGTGTGTGTGTACACACATAAAACAGGGGGTCCCATGTACTGTACTTTTGGTGTTTCTTATATCATTTATTAATCGCCAGAAAATCCGGACAATCTGCTTTTCCAGACAGGTGGTCCCCCCTTTTAGTCCAGATCTTCGAGGGTTCATTGTACTATACCTGTATACCACAAAATTGGGTAGGGGAAGACTGCAAATAGTCTATGGACATAAAACATAAAAATCAATCCCTAAATAACCCTTACACTTGCGCAAAGCAACTGTAGTCGATTTAGAATTATTGTACAAAGCAGTACAGTCAGTCCTCGACTTATGACGGGGTTAGGGACCGACGACCAGATCGTAAGTCAAAAATGCGAAAATAAGACATAGAAAATCTAAAATGGGTTTCTCCTTTTCTTCTCAGCACCACGAGAACTCTCACTTTTAAGCCTGCCAGCAAATTTAAAGGGAATTACAAACGAAACTTTTATCAGTACACAGCGCAATCACTAACGTCTGGACTCGAAAATACGTAATTTGAAAAATATTTATACGACTGCAGCGGTCGTATGTCCGAGTGGTCGTAAGTTGAGTAGGTCGTAAGTAGAGGAGTACCTGTACTGGGAAATAAGGCAGCTGAGGAATGCTGTTGAACTACCACTGTTTTTAGCTTACCATTTTTATTGGTGGCACAATTACTGCATGGGAGTACAGTAAACCCTCGATAACTCGGCATTTGATAACTCAGAATTTCGTGTGTCCTGGCATGGATATAGTCTCGGAATGTATTATAGTATAACTCGGAAAATGCCGATATATAAAATTATCTGGGAAAAACTCGGCATACCTGGCCACCTGCATTACCTACTATGCATCTGTGTCACCTACTATGCATCTGTATCACCTACTATGCATCTGTCTCCTATTATGATGCTTCATTCTTTGCCTGCAGTGCTGGTAATTGTTACTTTTTTACATTTCGTTTTATATGCACACATATATGGGTCGATAATTTTGTTATTGTTGTATTTTTGTAGGAGGGGGGTAAGTGCCTCGATAAGTCAGAATTTGGGATAACATAGCAAGGCCAGAGCCAAGTTATTGAAGGTTTACTGGATACATATTTTGTAGTAACTAAGGCAACTTTTTACATTGCTGGAATTCTTATACGATAGTGATTAATTTGAATATAAACATGCTATAGTTTGCTCTAGACACAAATTTTAGTATTCATTTAGTACATTATTTTGAATACATGTACAGTACAGCTTTGCCCTTAGGGCAGTGTAGCGTGCCCAGAGAAACATTAGGCGCAAAATTTTAAATATGATGCACTAGATTGACTCGGGCAAAATAGGAGATTCACTTTAAATTAAAACAATCTCCTTAATTGTGGGTGTCACTTTAAATCAATAATCTAAAATAGAATCGCTTTAAATCGACGTTCAACTGTACTGGCTATCAAGAGCCACACCATGATACTGGCTGTCAAGAGCCACAACACCTGGCACTGGCCATCAAGAGCCACACCACCTGGTACTGGCCACAAAGAGTCACACCACCTGGCACTGGCCATCAAGCTAAAAAAAATTAAATACCTCTGGGAGGTATGATGTTCAACTGATAATTATAATACAGTAAAAAAGATGATTAATACTAACATATAGTCTGTACAACACAACTGTTAAGGAAAGAAAAAATAAAAGCTTCATAATGAGGCTGGGTAAGTGAAACAGACCACCCTTAGTACTGATAAAGAATAAGGTGAAATACTTTCTTTGTACAAACCTAAGTCACTGTTAAGATATAAAGATCATCAATATAAAAATTTACCTCTATCAGATCAACTTTACATTCTTGGCCTTCTTCAGGGACATATCCCAGCCTAATAAGGTTGGGCTGAGAGATATAAGAGAAGTCGACCAGGAGCCAACCATCACAAACATCCAGAACCTGAAGACTTCCCAAGTGAGACAGTTCTGTGATGGTGCCACTTACTGAAATGAAGATAGATACTCATATTTTACAAGAACAATAGCAAAATATTACTGCTTAGAAGCCTGCATTATTTATATAATTTCCAAGGTGTTTCAACTACAGGCAATAATGCTTCCTTTCCTCCAAATTTCCTCAAATTTCTACCATTCATTTTCTCTAACTGCCACAATAAATGTTTCCCTTCAACAATTGGTTCCCAAGATGATAATAATGTAAAAGCAGGAAAGAAGACATAAGCCTAAACATAGACTACAGTACTGTAAAACATATAAGAGATGCACTGTACACTCTGGAACAAGCACTAGTATTGCTCCAACCCAATTCCAGTGTAAAACAATCAGTACTACAGTACAGTGAAAACAGGATTCCAATCAGTTAAGGATGAAGGAATTCGAATGTTAATCATAAAGGTTTCTTTACATTGTAAACCTCATAACCCTAGTAAAAAAAAAGAATGAAAAATAAATTCCTAAAAACAGCAACATAGCAATGAGATACAGTACAGTACTTCATAAATCCTGACATCAATTTCTTAATATATAATACAGGGAATCCCAATACAGACTCCCCTATTGTCTGCATAAACACCAGGTCCAGGGTCTGTCATTTTCAAATAGCCTCAGATTCTATAAATTCCCCCAAGCTTAAACCTGATTTGGATTGGTCTCAGCAAAGAAGACAACCATCAAATTAACACAGTAACCTAACAATAGAGATTTTTTATCATACAGGTATGGAAGTCTTGAAGCATCAATTAGGATGAATCTGGACCCGATATACACCGTATAAATTAGTATATATATATATATATATATATATATATATATATATATATATATATATATATATATATATATATATATATATATATATATATATATATATATATATATATATATATATATATATATATATATATATATATATATATATATATATATATATATATATATATATATATATATATATATATATATATATATATATATATATATATATATATATATATATATATATATATATAATATATATATATATATATATATATATATATATATATATATAATATATATTATATATATATATATATAAAAGTTGTGTAGTGTAGCATAGCATTACATAAAAGACAATGTCAAAAGTCAAACAATTACAAATTACTAATGAAACAAGACAACTATTTGCTATAGCTAATAAGAGCAAATTTAGGGAGTAAAATGAGACTTCTGGATGTTATCTTCTTCTCTCATTGACACAACCTATCTTGAGATAGTGCATCGTTTATACCTCTTCCCCAAGAGATCCTCCATGCTCCAAATGACAAAAAGGATGAAGAAAAAAGAAAAAAAAAAAGTACACAACACCCCATGAAAGATGCTATCACATACAAGCCAAACAATTTTCACTTCTAGAGTGATGTTTATCATATTATGCCACACAATCATGCTGTAAATTCACTTTTTGGCAGGTGGTGAATCATCCACAACTCATGAAACAGAGAAAGCAATGTATCAATACCTGTTTACAGGAAAAATTAACACTAGCCAATATGCTTTAAAATACAGGTTGGACCTTGCTAATCCGGGAAGATTGGGACCAGACCGGTTCTGGATTAGCAAAGATTCCAAACTATCGAAGCCAAGGTTAAAAAAATGCGAAATAATGCATAAAATGTACTATTATTGGTACCAATACAACTTACATCAGCATAAATCTAGCCCAGGCTTACTGAATCTCTTTATGACAAAGTATTGGTGCTATGGCACAAGTTTACTGTACTGTGACACAGAAATAAGTAGATTAGCAGAAAAGGCAAAGAGAAAGTTGTACAGTATATTGTAGACCTACTGATACCTTGGACACTAACGACAGCCAGATTCAAACACCGTCCCGAACCAATGAAGCTGCCAGACTATCGGGTCCCGGATTAGCTGGGTACAACTTGTACCTAAGTGACGCATCATTCCTTCAATGCCAACACCAGGTATCCTTCCCGTCATTAGGAAAGATGCAAAATGAAAGGCAAGTACTGAATATGATTACCCTCGACACTGCATCTAATATTGCCTAAACCAATGTAAAACCCCTTAAGTCAAGCCAAGTACTTGGTATATCTTGCATTAGGCATAGTTAAAAGACAAATGTTTTGCCTATGGGGGTTACAGGCTAGTGGCTAGGTTAGTACAACTTACTACTTTGTAACTGAACCTGAACAACTGTGTGATGACAATGACTCATTAGCTTTCAGTCTTTGGACAACTGCAGCTTCATGAACTTCCTATTTAAGAACTAAGGGTGCTGTAGAGGAAATGGCAGATACCTGGATTAGTCTTAGTCACTGTAGGTTAGGGCTTCCCGGAGTTATTAACCACAAACCTTTGCTGGCCACATTCATGATTCTATGAGGGTCATTCAATAAGCAACAAGACTTTTTATGTAGATGGCAAAGGAGAGGAGCAAGTGCAGTGATCATGTTATGACATGTTTAGACATGCATAAGCTAAATACTGTTTGTTTATTCACTTCCTTCGATTAGTCTCTGGTAAGTGTTGCATTAACAATGCGCACTCCACTTGAATTTTGCACTTGGAAGAACAACAATCTGCTATTCATTTTTTTAAAGTCAAATTAATTAAAGAATGTCACTCCAATACGAGAGTAATTGCATAAGTCGAGCAAACATTTACAAGTGGGTTGAACAATTAAAAAATGGTCGAACAAGCATTGAGGACAGAGATCGTGGCAGACGACCTGTCAAAGTTTCAACACCAGAATAATGAGAAGAAAATTTTGTCATACCCTGCATACAGTCCAGAACTCACACCATCAGACTACCACACAATTGGTAAGCTCAAAACAGCTTTACATGGAAAGCATTTTTCATATAATGTGAAGAAAGAAATCTGTAGTTGGCTATGGAGTCAGCTGTAGAGGGAGATTATGTCGAAAAATGGGTTTGTGATCGTCAATAATAAATCATTACTTCTGCAGTTATATTGATTAATCTTGTTACTTACTGAAGGAGCCCTATGAATACCTGGTAGGTGTCAGTTATGGAGCTTGGCTTATTCAGCAGACTGAATACATGTTGAAAATTATGATAATGTACCACTATATTTTCAACCGACTTAAATAATACTTACAACTTTATATACCCGGTAATTCTTAATATCAATGATATCAAAAGCAGTCCTTAATTCTACTCCATTCCATTATAGACATTAATCATCACTGTCTAAAGGATGTTGTTGATACTTACCAACGTTGAAAACATATGACACTACATTGTCAAACTTGAAAGAGGAGAACACGATACGTCGACTGTCATTCAACCAGCATCTTTGAGGAAGTCCAGAATAGCCATAGATTCCCTTGAACACATCACCATCTTCAATCTCTTTTTCTCGATAAACTACATCAACAACCACACGTTCCTGTAAGTGATGGATACAATCGTTATTCTGACAAAATCATTTGATAAGTTGATCTATCCGTGTCTATGGTTGCAGAATAGAGAAAACCCTCTAGGTTGCCCTATCTACTGGTAAGTATACTAGATCTCCTGAGTTTGCTCCATATTTGTTACACCTTACCCTATGTATGCTAGCTATTTCCTTTTCTCTGGTGTTTGCTGTCCTCCTCTCAGTTCATTCCCATTCACCTCACTCCTTTATGCTCGCCTTACAACCTGTCATCTATCATTCTTTATACATGTCCAAACTACCTCATGGTATACCTGGTAAACCCACACACTATAAGTCAATATTTTATCATTCTATAGCCTTAGCTTTCTCAGACATACAGCACTAACATATTTCATACACTTATTCCTCCCATCTGTTAAACCCACATTAAGTACTGCACTAATACCGTAACCAATTTGAAAAGTCTGAATTAAAAATTGTTCCATTCCTCTTGGTTATGATCAACACAGTACTCACACCATCTTCAATGCTTCATCATCACCATTATCAGTGGTTTATGGCCATTTTCCATGAGTTAGTCATGGTTACCTGATGGCAGCTCTCCCAGTTGTGTGTTCTCTTGCCACCTCTCTCATAAGGTTCTTAACTATGAAGTTATTTCTTACAACATTTCCACTTATCAGTCTTGGCCTACCCCCAGCTGTCCTCCCCTCCTCATTCAAACTGATGCATTTCTTGACCCAGTGGTGTGACAGAAAAGGTATCTATTAATGAACAAAGGAAATATTAATCCTGAATTATTGAAAACAGTATAATTATTATGTACTAAGACAGCACAATGATATGGAAGAGCTGAACATGACAGGAACTGAGACCAAGGGGTAATTAGATGCGATAGACAAGATAAAAAATTTTTTTTTTTTTTACGGGAATTAGCCCACCCAGGCACAGGTCACTGACCCACATCGGGGCCTGGGGGGCAAAAATGATATACCGGTAATAATAAATAATAATAAATAATAATAATAATTATAATAATAATAATAATAATAATAATAATAATAATAATAATAATAATAATAATAATAATAATAATAATAATAATGCATGTAATAATAATAATAATAAATAATAATAATAATAAATAATAATAATAATAAATAATAATAATAATAATAATAATAATAATAATAATAATAATAATAATAATAACAATAATAATAATAAAAAAGAACCATAAAGAAATACAAAATGAAAAAAAAAATCAAAAGTGAGGAACAATATATGTACAGTATGTTGTGTTGTCAATAGTAAGAGAAACAATTGAGACCCTGCAATTGTGTGTAAATGAGGCAGAAAGTCAGATCAGCAACCTGGGACTTGGTCACAATTTTCGTGATGCCATGTGGCAGCAAGGTCTACCATAAACTTCAATGTTTTGGGAAAGAACAGTAATAAGGTGACAGCACTTAGCATGCTTGCATAATTTCATTAATACTATGTACAATAATGTCAAGTGGCTCCAGCTCAAGCAATAATTTATATGCACAAAATTTAATCTAAGCATACCTGTTTGTCTGGCCATGTGAGGAGGCACAGCTGGCTACACTTAGCATGGGGTCCTCCAACCTTTGTACGTAGAAACACGATACTTAACCCATCCGGGCTAACACGAGGACTTCGAATGTTGCTATGACCTTCACTTATCACACCTGGTAGATTAGTGAAAAGTTCATTTTCAGGCCTATTATGCTAGCTAATTAAATATCCATGTCAACACAGTAATAACAATAACTGGATGAAGTCTATGAAACTTCATAGCCAAGAACAAAAGTCCTGTCATCACTCAGGCCGCTCCACGAACCCCGAGATTCAGACTTGTGAGTCCATGGACAGAATAATGTCCACGAGTCTGAATCTCGGGGTTCATGGAGCAGCAAGAGAAGCAACAGAACTCTTTGTTAGTGATTACATATTACTTGTTCCAGTTTAAAAAAAAATTAAGTTATAAATTGTTTATCATAAACTCTGACTTTCCAAAACTTGCACATATCAAATAAGTAGCCTCAGTAACTGTTTATATTAATTACTACAAGTAATGCATCTGTTTGATCATGATGTTTTTCTTAAATAAATATTACTTTAAACTCAAGAGTACATACTATAGTTGCCCTCCAGATCCATGTGGAAGAGTTTGGATTCTCTGTTATGATTGTATATAAGCCCAAGGCGGTATGGTTTACCGACAAAAGCCACCCCAAAAATTCCAGCACTGTCTGGGGCCCACACCATCTGACCTGGACACAGCTGATCTCGTAATTCATGGCATTTTATGTCTCCAGAATTAACATTAAGAAGGCAAACAACACTCTGAAATAAAACAATGGATATCAGAGACAGAGAAGAGAAAGATAATGAAAAAGAAGGGAGAGAAGGTTATTGGAGACAATAGAAAATAAATCATACACAGTGGTCCCTCGGTTAACGAACACAATTCGTTCCAGAAGGTCGTTCATTAACCGAAACCATTGTTTCAATGGGATATTGGGTAATTAGTTCCAGCTCAGAGAAAAGTATATACGTACAAAGTAAAGCCAAAAATGCATAAAGTCAGAAACACTCCTAAAATTCCCCTAAATCGCCCTTAAATCACAATATATATCGTATATATACACTAGAACTCTTAAATCACTACTGTAATGTGATAGAGGTGATAAATTTTATCTCGTGCAAATTATATGACGTTTATATTCAAATTATTCGCTGTCTTGCAAGGATTTCAGCAATGCCAATTATATTCTCCTAACTTTAGTCTGAGATATTATATAAGATAAAAACTTTAAACCCTAATGAAACCACCAAACTTTAGTCTGGGAAGGCAGGGGTAGGGAGGGAGCCAGCGAGCGTGGGAAGAGGGGGGGAGCGGGAGGTGAGGTGACAGATAGTGTCTGGTGAAGTATAATTTGCTTATTTACTTGAGATTTTTGTTTTTAGCTCATAAAATCATAGAAATTACCCGGCCAGAATATAATTCACATTGCTGGAATTCTTATAAGTTATAAGATAGTGATTAATTTGAATATAAACAAACTATAATTTGCATTAGACATACAAATTTTAGATCTAATTTAAGAATTTTATTAGAGAGAGCAAAAATTTATCTTTTGTGCAAAATATATGATGTTTATATTCAAATTATTCGCTGTCTTGCAAGGAATCCAGCAATGCCAATTATATTCTCCTAACTTTAGTCTGAGATATTATTTAATATCAAACCTGTAAGCCTGGTGCTTTTCCCCAAACGTTTCTCAGGAAGGTGGGGGGGGGAGGGAGGGAGGGGTGACAGTGACATGTTTGACAGTTGGCACCTGTGGTGTGAAGTATTTAATTGTTAATTTATGTCCTTTAGATTGAGTTTTTGTTTTTTGCTTATAAAATTTAATAGAAGTGACCGGGGTGAATTTAATTTGCATTGCTGGAATTCTTATAAGATAGTAATTCATTTGAATGTAAACATAGAAGAGATCACTGAATTGGCTGAGTACCTCCTCAGCTTATCAGCTGATGTTCAAAACAAAATGTGATTTTCGTAAGGATTTCGTTAATCAATTTTTTTTCGTTAACCGAATTGAAGATTCTTAGGGAAGGTAATTCGTTAACCAAAATATCGTTAACCGAGGCGTTTGTTAACCGAGGGACCACTGTACAGTGATATCCCCATTAACTGGAACAATTGGTGCAGAGCTCTTCAGAGGGTGAGATATTTCCGGATATCGTGATAACTCTCTCTAACCCGAGAAAAATCCCACATCCCTGGAATTTTTCAAGGCATTGGGAAAACATTCTGATAGCCTAAACTATGCATCACACATCGACAGACACTATCCCACATTCCTGTTGTTTCTGGGTGCTGGGGAAAGATTTCTGGAAGTCTAAGAGAGTCTAAACTCATCTCATTTCGACTCTAAGCTACGCATCTCATCACCTCATCTCCCACGGACAAACAAATTTGTGTGTGTGTGTGACTGCACGGTAGTGAGATAAATAACAGCTGTTGAGAAGTGCTTGGCAACACTCATTTCCACTCCATCTTTCTAATTACCCACACCTTTCTGCTTTCTCACTACATATTTTAAAATGTTATGTTACGTAATGTTGAAGGGATGCAACTTTGCTCCTTTACACTTATACTTATCACAACCTCCCTAAAAATAATTTAGGTTCCGTGTTTATTCAAGACAACTTCAGGTCATGAGACCCACTAATCCCCCACCCAAGAAAAGGTGACCAGAAATTCCATCAGGTTAGTAATTTGAGACCACTAATCCCACACCCTACCTCCACCTGATATTGTGACATGTCAGTTCAGTTACATGAAACCCACTAATCCCTCCACAGTTCCCTGGAAGTGGAAAATACCAGATGTGGTGTAACTCAGCTTCATTCGCACTCATATCATATAGATTTGTAATTTTTAAATATATTTATTTAATCAAACTTTTAGAAAAACTATTCTAGATTATTATAGTAAAGAAATGGAGTCTCTAACCTAATTAGATCTGCCTTTACAGACTCCAGTAATTTAGACTCAAGGAAAACAGCCCCAGCACCCAGAAATGTTCTGGGAAAGTGGGCTAGCGTCCATCTTTGCAAGATGTTTAGTTTAGACACTTGGAACTTTTCCCAGTATCCGGAAAAAGGATTTTTTTCCGGGTTTCAGAAAGTCGTCTGGTTAGCCGTAAATCTCTCATCCCCAGAAGTGCTCTGCACCAACTGTTCCGGCTAACGGGGATATCACAGAATATTCAACTTTAACCCATCAATAGTCACCATGGATAGTACAGGTTCACAATCCCTTATCCGAAAACCTTGGGGCCAGATGCATTTCGGATTTCAGCATGGTTAGTTTTTTTTTTATATATATATATACAGGGATCAGCCCACCCAGGTGCAGGTCACTGACCCACATTGGGGCCTGGGGGGCTAAAATATAATAATAATTATAATAAAAGTAATAATAATAATAATTCATAGATTTAGGTCGAGTTTCTCATATTTTATCTTTTTTCATTCTTATATCTCTTTACTATTACTATTATTATTATTATCATTGTTATTTTATTTTTGTGTATTTTTTTATTATAAATTTTATTTACTCTGAATAATTGTTATTAAATTTTCGGCCCGCAGGCCCCGATGTGGGTAATTTTGGCTTTGCACGGGCGCTAAAATGCTGCAGAACATTATAATTCAATGTATTAGAGTACAGGTGATCCTCTATTTATGAACTATCAGATATGAACAAACTTGTCCATATGTACTGTTCATGAACAATAACTACAATATCCAGTACTGTACAAGTTCACGGTAGGCTTCTCCTTACCAGTCATGAAAAGTATTGATAAGTGACACGCTTATAAGTACAGTACACAGGGTACAGATGGGCAACCCCTCACTGCCACCATGTCTGCCCAACCTTGGCAGGACCTTAAAATTGGGCATTGAATGTTTTCACTATTTTTCTGAATATTCTGAGGTCATTTGGGAGCAGTTGGCAAAAAAGAAAAATTTAATTTTTGCTGACCAAGAGACGTAACATGCACACTACAGTGGTCCCTCGGTTAACAAGATTTCGGTTAACGAGTTACCTTCCATAAGATTCTTAATTTCGGTTAACGAGCAATCCCTCGATTAACGAGTTTCTTACAAGCCGACCTCCACATGTTTTAGCTTGCATTTGGCGGTCCACCAGCTGTAGTATTAGTCCGCCAATACAGTCAGTTCTGCTATAACGCGATAGTTGTGTTCTTGTAAAACATCGTGTTATAGAAATTCGCGTAATAGAAATAACAGGGCTGATGGAGAAAATAGGGTTAGGTGCAGATTACTACTCGAAATCGAAAAATTTTTAGTAGTTAGCCTAACACAAAGGTTAGCACAGTCTAAATAAATGTTACATTCATATCTAATAATGAAATCATACAGTAAATGTAACACTTTACCATGAAGAAATATGAATATAACTTGATGGGGGAGAAGGGTGATTTTGAGGTTGATAACATCGAGCTTCTCTTCAAGTGTTATAGCCTTTCTTTTACGATCATCACCGGGAATGCGATCAACAGAATGCTTCATGGAGATATTCTTCTTTACCATATTCACAGTTAATACCACAAAATTGAAGAAATAGTAAGCAAAAATCGCGTTACAGCAAACAAGCGTTCGCGTTATACAAATATCGTTCCTCTATTCATAAATCGCGTTAGAGCCAATTCGCGTTGTCAAAACACGCGTTATAGCAGAACTCACTGTACAGTAATCGGTTCTAGGGCTTAAATTCCTTACCCATTTACTAAATATCAAGAAGTTTATACTATTCAATAATTTTAAAAGTTTAATATTAATTTTTTTAGTCATTTTAACAATTATTGAACATAATTGAAGGTAGGGTCACTAGTTTGTGGCACGCCATCCAGCCTGCCAACACAGCATACAGGCGTCAGTCTTTATGTCTTTTCAGTGGAGGTAACATTTTGCTTGAAACTTTCTTCAACTAAATGCTTTTTTCTGTGTTTGCAAGCAAATTATTGGTCATTTTGAAATTTATTTTACATATTGACAATATATAATGTAGTGCAGTGTTGATTTAAAGAAAATAATCTTGAATTACACCAAGAGAACTAAAATTTTATGGGTAAAAATGGCACCATGGGGTGGCTTCTCTTCCACCCCAATGCCTTCTCTTCTCCCTTCTCCTCCACACCTATTCTATTTCCCATCATCATCATCCAGGAGCCTTCTACATACACACCTCAAAGTAAGTGTAGTTTTCTACCTTTTTTGTTGAATTTAGGCAATTTTCGGTGAGCTGGAACCAATTACCCAAAAACCCATTGAAACAATGGTTTCAGTTAACGAGCAACCTTCTAGAACGGATTGTGCTCGTTAACCGAGGGACCACTGTATACTCTTAATGTGGCCCTTGATGGGTTAAATGAATCAGTATTGCTTAAAATACAGTAATTACAAAAAAGTTTATGGTTCAATGAGTAAAAAGCAAATCTGAAACTTTACTGGGCCATACCTGGTGTTTGCCATCTAGCTGCTCCCCCCAGTCGTCACGGAAGATAAACTCCTGGCCTCGGGCATCCTCACTCTTACCGCTGACATCAAATCCAATGAAATATTAGCATAGATAAAAATGATTGATTTTAAGTAAAAACATGGAGATACAGTATATCTCAGAGAACAAGAATGTGTCAGCAAATGATATGTGATACAGCACAGAAGAGTAACCTTTCTAATACGCACACTTGTATGGATTCTATCCCATTTTGGAATTATGAAACATGACAATGAAGATCAATTGGCCAACAACACATGTAACAAAGAATATACCGACTGTGAATTAGGTCTCTCCAATGCAGTTGCTAAAAACCTACTTCAAGTTGTACTTCTCTAGTCTGGCATTCTGTGGTCCGGAAACTCCCGTGGTCTGGAACGATTTTAGTTTGCCCATGGAGAAAATTAATTTGAGTTTGATACTTTCGATGTTTGGCTAAATTTTGCCTTATTTACCCTACTTTTTTGGCGAATTACTACCTGTAATAGAGCAACATCCTAATACACCAACAAAAATAACACAGATAAAGTTAAATAAAAACTAAAAACAACACAGAGAAAGTTCTAATGTTCTGCAGCTTCAGCCAGAGTTGAACCTGATGACTTGGCAACTTCGTCATCTGGGTAAAAATACACACAACAACATTGGCTGTCCTTATGTTTTCAACTTTACCACCACTGGTGGGTAGAATTTTTGTTTTAAATTCAGAAACATTAATTAAAATATATATGAACAGTAAATAAGTGTTACTTTCATATTCTTATGTAGAGTGATGACGATATGTTTTCATGTGTGTGCACTTACATACGTGATCTCACTTTTTATCTTTACCGTTGATGGTAAGCTACTTATATTGTTCCATTTATTAACGTTAAATAACATTACTTCAAACAACCATATTAATTTTTACATTAATTTTACTACAGCTACAACCAGGGTCTTATTTTCTTTAGTTTCTTCAGTTTTGTAATCAACGAAAACATCCCGTCTCGTTTCCTCGAGTGTTTTAATATTCTACGTATTATTAATGAATTGTATTGTTCATTTTCACACAAACATTAATTCAATCATAAAGACATTCAGTAATAGACAATAATGAATCTTTTGTACATAAGAGAAATTACGCTGTTTACACAATTTGTGCACGTCTGAATGTTGGCGGGCCACTCAAACCCGTCGAAATTTTAAATTGTGTAGTGTTTTTTTTTTGTATCCAAATAAAAAACGTTGAATTAAAAACTCGCGAAATTTGAGAGCCTACTGTACGACATTTAACCCTTCCATATGTCTTCAAAGAGACCACGAAGCAGTGAAAGTGGTGCTAATGCTTCCAAGCGTAAGCACAAGTCACTATCTATCCATGAAAGGGGTGAATTTCCATGGTCCGGCACCAGTCAGGTCCTGAGGTTGCCGGACTAGAGAGGTACAACCTGTAGTTAATATCATAAACTCTGACTTGAAAGAAGAAATAATACACAGAGACCTGGCAGTAGTAGCATTAGCAAATGTGACAAATATTGTGAACACAGGTACAGTCCCAGTAGGGTATGGCCAGTACAAGATCAGAGCCGGACAATGTGACAGGCAACACTCATACCCAGGAGAAAGAAATATTACCTGGCTATTAAATTGTATGAAGCACATAGAGTACTGTATTACTAAAAAATAGATTATTAGCTCCCAAGAGATACTGGCCACTTAATCCACCAGACTACAGATACTGGCCACTTACTTCACCAGACTACAGATACTGGCCACTTACTTCACCAGACAACAGATACTGGCCACTTACTTCACCAGACTACAGATACTGGCCACTTACTTCACCAGACTACAGATACTGGCCACTTACTTCACCAGACAACAGATACTGGCCACTTACTTCACCAGACAACAGATACTGGCCACTTACTTCACCAGACTACAGATATTGGCCACTTACTTCACCAGACAACAGATACTGGCCACTTACTTCACCAGACAACAGATACTGGCCACTTACTTCACCAGACAACAGATACTGGCCACTTACTTCACCAGACAACAGATACTGGCCACTTTGTAATAATGCCAAGCTTTTAGAGTAATTAATGACATTTTAGAGAGTTGTGTAAATTCAAATTAAGGTATCCCTTGATTTGCAATGGGGTTAGGTTCCTGTAAAACCTATCGCGAATCAAAATATCATAGATCGGGAGCATTATTACAACAAAGGGTTCAATAGGGTAGGTTCCTGGTTAGTCAGACATACATATGTATCAAAAAATAAAAATAAATAAAAAATCCTAGAATATTACCAGCAGTACAAAACAATTAAACAACACTCACCACATCATTAAGAACACAGCTCACTTCAGTCACAAAAAATGAGTGAAAGAACTTGTCACAAAAGGTACAAACAATGATAGTGGCTGTCACTGCCCACCCACACAAATACAGAGTACAATGTGAGCTTAAGTGAAGTCTTTTCACATTGATGTTCAGTAACAACACCAATACTGACTGATAATTGTTGAATTACATAATTGCAGCCATGTGGCATCACCAGGGAACAAATCTCGGTACTGTAGTGCCCCAGGTGACCATGTGGCTGCACTCACGTTTGTTGTTGTTTTTAGGTTAGGTTAGGTTTGGTTTGATTAAGTTAATTAAGGTTTGGTTTAATTAAGTTAGGTTAAGTAAGGTTTGGTTTAATTAAGTTAGGTTAAGTAAGGTTTGGTTTAATTAAGTTAGGTTAAGTCAGGTTTGATTTAATTAAGTTAGGTTAAGTAAGGTTTGGTTTAATTAAGTTAGGTTAAGTAAGGTTTGGTTTAATTAAGTTAGGTTAAGTAAGGTTTGATTTAACTGAGTTAGGTTAGGTACGGTCTGATTAGGTAAGGTAACGTAAGGTAAGATAAAGTTATTGAGGTGTTTAATCTTAATGTAAGGTGAAATATGTTGAGGACTAATCTCCAGGTGATGTGAAGAAATACAACACAAGTGCTACACAGGAAACTCAAGTAAATGGGGATAAAAATTAAATAAACTTTACATTTATCTTTTCTAGTTTACTTTCTCATATTTTTTTTCTTGGCTATTTATTGTTTTTCCTATTTTCTTTCAATGGTACCTTGTTGTTTATGTATATCTAATTCATTCACTTGTATTTTGATGAGCTCTTTTATTTCTTACTTCACACCACAGATAACTGTTTTATTTATTTTGCCATCAAACTAACAAGCAGACTGCAGTACAGTAAGTCCTCGCTTAACGTCGGGGTTACGTTCCTAAAAACACGATGTTATACGAAACACCGTTAAGTGGATCAATTTTCCTCATACGAAATAGATAAAATACAAGAGTTACGTTCCTGAGCCTCCCTTTGCCCCATGAAATACATTACATATACTGTACATAAATTCAAAGTTCCTTGTGTGATGCCTGGTGAGGTGCTTGTATGCATTACTATAAAGTCACATTCATTGAGATTTATAAGAGAAAAGCTTAAAACTCCTCTACATGACATAAATAAATACCATTAGGTAACCTTGGTTGGCCAGCTGGCCTGTCATAATACATCACCTCCCCCTCCGAACTTCTGGCAAGATTGAAGGTGGTTTAGGTTTAAAGTTTTTATCTTATAAAATGGCACAGACTAAAGTTAACAGAATATAAATTGTTCTGTTGGAATCCTTGCAAGACAGCAAATAATATGAACATAGACATCATATATTTTGCACGAGACAAAAATTTTAGTCCCTTAAGTACATTTAAGTACTGTACATGTTTTTCAACTTATTTTTTGGCAGATATAGTAACTTTCTTCATTTATTTTTACTCATTTACATGCACACCCCATCCTAAATATATATTGTGAAAGGGGTAAATGAAATATTTGTCCGTGAAGAGGCAAATGGCTTAGTACCGAGTTACCGGGACGTTAAATGAATCTTTGGTCTCTAAAGTTTAGCAGCGTACTACCGAAACAACATTAAGCGGGTCGACGTTAAGCGAGGACTTACTGTATGTAAGCTTCTTTACACTGCTGGACTACCCTAGGGTACAGTGAGACACATTCTGAATACTGTATATTATTCTGAAAATGGGATAACGTATAGTATAGTACAGTACAGAACAGAACATGCATTAGTTTCATCTAATAAATGAACACCCTAATGCAATCTGAAGGAGTTAGGTTAAGTTAGATTAGATTAACATTAGGCATGTTTTACATTCATGTGAAATATGCTGGGAGGTCTAATATTCAGGTGATCCAAAAATATCAAAGACAAGTTAATTTAAAAGGTGAAGTAGGAGGCTTTGTAGAGTTTCTCGAGTTAAAATTAAAAAAATTTCAAAGTAAAATTTTACCTTTTCAGTGGAGTCATGAAGCTTGTAGGCTTAGGCTGCTTTTTTTCTGCAACATACACGAGCATTGTCTCATCTGCTGACCACTCCAGGCACCCGAACTCACCATCTGAGTAAACCTGCATCAAGTCCATCCAAGTGAATAGCAAAGCAAAATTGGAAATGATGATGTAAACTGGTTCATCAGGGCACAATACAGCACAGTAGTACATCACAATTATGAACTTATACCTTCGAAATTGAGGGTTTTCTGTATATCTTGTATTGTACTTACATTAATTCAGAAAAGTCCTCAAATTATTATTTTTTTTAACTTCACTTTTGGCTACATAACGAGAAACAGCGTGTCAACTTAAGTTACAATAGGAGAAAATTGTAAACGGGTATTTCTATAAATTATTATTCTATCACTATGGACTGCAAAGAATTAATTTAAAATTACTTTCTAATCACAAAAATGGAATAAAAGAGCCAAAATAAAAGGTATTCCTTACAGAGGAATAACTAAACATGCTAAAAAGTACAATACCTGTATACAAAATATTTCCACCATACTTACTTTTCCATGCTTGTCTGCAACTTTGAGATCAAATGTTTTCATTGAGCCATCTTGATTAACCACCATCACCTGGTGTTCTTCCTGGTTCTTCTCTGAGGTCACCATAAATGCTGTCCATTTCCCCGAGGCACTTGTTTGGCTAAGCACTCTGGAATATAGATGATTGATCCTAAAGTCTTTTTCTGGCAGAGCCCAGAGCCAAATAGTTTCCTTAAACAGGGTGACTTATTGGAAGATCCTTGAATCCCCTGGATAGGGATCCTGATTGTCACCTTGAGTTAATACAAGTACAGTACCTGTATATTAATCCTAATTAGCAAACAAAGTAGCCTTACCTTTTGTCTTGCACTGTCAGTTTTAAATTTGGGGAAGATGGTGCAGTGGTGTCTTTTTAATCCCTCGATTAACAAGTTTTTTACGAGCCGACCTCAACATGTTTTCGCTTGCATTTGGCGGTCCACCAGCTGTAGTATTAGTCCGCCAATACAGTAATCGGTTTTAGGGCTTAAATTACTTACTATTTTAGTAAATTATTGAACATAATTGAAGGTAAGGAAACTAGTTTTATGCGCGCCATCCAGCCTGTCAACACACCAAACAGGCGTCAGTCTCTCTGTCTTTTCAGTGGAGGTAACATCTTGCCTGAGACTCTCAACCAAACGTTTTTTTTTCTGTTTGCAAGCAAATTATTGGTCATTTTGAAATTTATTTTACATATTGACAATATATAATGCAGTGCAGTGTTGATTTAAAGAAAATAATCTTGAATTACACCAAGAGAACTAAAATTTTATGGGTGAAATGGCACCATGGGGTGACTTCTCTTCCACCCCAATGCCTTCTCTTCTCCCTTCTCCTCCACCCCCATTCTAATTCCCATCATCAGCATCATCATCCAGGAGCCTTCTACATACACACCTCAAAGTAAGTGTATTTTTCTACTTTTTTTGTTGAATTTAGGCAATTTTTGGTGAGCAGGAACCAATTACCCAAAAACCAATTGAAACAATAGTTTTGGTTAACGAGTTTTTCGGTTAACGAGCAACCTGCTGGAACGGATTGTGCTCGTTAACCGAGGGACCACTGTACCGTCATGTGACTGCATGGGATACCTATGATTGGCTGATGTACCTCATAGCCTACAGTATCTTTTCAAACTCTTCCATCGTGACACTAATCGTTCATTGTCTGCTGCCACTGTACAAGCTTATTCGCTCGCTCACTGTTATTTTTTAATACTATCTGCATTGTGCAGTACAGTGGTCCCTCGGTTAACGAGCACAATTCGTTCCAGAAGGTTGCTCGTTAACCGAAAAATTCGTTAACCGAAACCATTGTTTCCATGGATTTTGGGGTAATTGGTTCCAGCTCACCGAAAATTGCCTCAAGTCAACAAAAAAGGTAAAAAAGTACACTTACTTTGAGGTGTGTATGTAGAAGGCTCCTGGATGATGATGCTGATGTGAATTTGAAGTGGGAGGTGCAGGAGGAGAAGGGAGAAGAGAAGAAAGTGAAGGTGGAGGAGAAGTATTTTACTGCTTCTTGGAAGGTGAGTCACCTTCCATGAAAATGTCAGGAACCTCTGGACTGACAGATTCTCCACCAGGAACATCCGCTCTCCTTCTTGAAGTGGAAGGCTGAAGGCTAGCATCTTGTTCCCGCTGCTTTTTACTGAAGAAACTGTCAATTTTTGTCTGTGGGGCATCTCTCCTCCTCATCATTAACTGATGTTTGAAGGAGACCACTGTGTCCTCAACATGACACAAAGCTAGTTCAGATTTTTCCACATCTGGGTGCCTTGATGCCAGTTTCCTGAACTTCTCCCAGTGGTCAACAACATCTTTCAACTCTGAAGTTGACATATGGTCATCACTTTCCGTTTCCTCCTTACCACTGTCAGCCTCTAACATCTCATCCAGTTGCTGCAAGTCATCAGGAGTAAGTTCCAGTTCATGAGACATTGCAAGCTCTTCTACATCATCCTCCTCCACTTCAAGGACCAATGACTGACCAATGGACACAATCTCCTGGTGCAACTCTGTTTCATCCTGAAATCCCTCAAAATCATGGACTACTGATGGCCACAGTGCTTTCCATGAAGAATTGAGGGATCTAGAAAAGACTTCTTGCCATGAGGACATAATCAATTTTACAGCCTCCATGATGTTAAACTGTGTCTTCCAGAACTGTGCCAGTGTTAGTTCAGGATCAGTGGAAGGTGCCTGATGACACCTCCTGAACATTTTCTTCATGTACAACTTCTTAAAGTTGCTGATCACATTCTGGTCCATTGGCTGTATGATTGATGTAGTGTTGGGAGGCAAAAACAACACTTTAACAAAGTCAAATTGAGACTCCAAAGTTCTGGCAAGTTGAGGGTCATGACCAGGAGCATTATCCTTAAGGAGAAGAGCCTTTAAAGGGAGTTTATTGGTGGTTAGGTAGCTCTTCACAGAAGGGCAAAACACCTCAACAGCCCATTCATTAAAGAGCTGTCTTGTCACCCATGCCTTACGGTTGCACTTCCAATAAACTCCAAGCCGTCCTCTTACCAATTTTTGTTGCTTGAACACCCTGGTGTTCTCAGAGTGGTAGACAAGCATAGGCTTCAGTCGGAAATCCCCGGAAGCATTGGCACCAAGCAATAGAGCGAGACGGTCTTTCATGGGTTTATGCCCAGGTAAAGAGGCTTCATCTCTGGTGATGAATATTCTTTTGGGCATCTTTTTCCAGAACAGCCCAGTTTCGTCCATATTGAACACTTGCTGTGGAAGATAATTTTCTGTATCCATCAGTTCTTTAAATTCCATTTATAACTTTGCTGCCCCTTCCTTATCAGCACTGGCAGCCTCACCATGTCTAACACTAAAAACGTCACTTCTTTTCTTAAATTTTTAGAACCAGCCCTTGCTGGCCCTAAAATCTTCAAAGACTGTGCCTGAAGAACCAGGTTAATCTACCTTTAAATGTTCGTATATTTCCCTCGCTCTTTCACAAATAAATTCAGTAGAAACTGAATCACCTTTCATCTGTTTTTCCCTAATCCAGATGAGAATTAACCTCTCTGTTTCTGCTAGTAGGAATCTACCTTTGAACACTCTGGTAGATTTGTCTCACTTTCACTTCCTTGAATTTGTCTTTCTGTGCAAGAATTGTCGACACAGTTGATGTCGACATGCCATATTCTTTGCTAAGCACATTTGTTCTAATGCCTTGTTCATGTTTCTTAATAATTTCCTGTTTCAACTGAATTGAAATCGCTTTTCTAGATTTCTTGGGACCCATGCTGGATTCAAAAACAATTTCAACACGTGATATTTTAAGTTTAATTGCTGTAAATAAAGAATATTTTCTTTAAATTAACACTGCACTGTGCTATATATCATCAATATGCAAAATACATTTCAAAATGACCAATAATTTGACTGAAAACACAGAAAAAAAGCATTTATGTTGAAGAGAGTCTGAAGCAAGATGTTACCTCCACTGAAAAGACACAGAGACTGATGCCTGCTTGGTGTGTTGACAGGCTGTTTGGCGAGCTAAAAACTAGTTTCCCTGTATTCAATTATGTTAAATAATTGTTAAAATGACTAAAATATTTAATATAAGACTTTTAAAATTATTGAATAGTACAAACTTCTTGATATTTACTAAAATAGTAAAGAATTTAAGCCCTAGAACTGATTACTGTATTGGCGGACTAATACGATAGCTAGTGTGCAAGCGAAAACATGTTGAGGGGTGCTCGTAAGGAATTCGTTAATCGAGGGAATGCTCGTTAACCGAAGTTAAGAATCTTATGGAAGGTAATTCATTAACCGAAACCTCGTTAACCGAGGGATCACTGTACTGTACATTACTGTACCAGCCTAAAATCAGCAAAGAATACCATGAAAGCCATGTTAAAGCAGTGTTATATATATATATATATATATATATATATATATATATATATATATATATATATATATATATATATATATATATATATATATATATATATATATATATATATATATATATATATATATATCTCTCGTACAAAATCGTTAATACCTACACATTTTTATTGATTGGAGAAGGAGGGAATGATATTACTTTTTCACCTTGTACAAGATAATCACAACTTGTTATAGACCGTTCCAGAGATGTTAGATTGCGAGAGCTCCAGAAGACCTAAAAGAGAAAATAATAATTTGAATTACTGTAGTCTCTTAAATTTTTAATAGTAATTGAATTTACTAAATAATCTATCTGTACATTTTTACTGAATAATATTACTGTACTGTATAGTATTTACTTTATGTATGCCTGATGCCCCATGGATGCTCTTCCTCTTAATAGTTTTATAGCATAAATTTCTCCAGTGTAATTTCTGACAGACCTGACTATGATTGAAACACTTGGTGAAGATTTTATGAGTCAGTGTAAAAGTGAATAAATCCATTTTGAGTGTGATAACAAACAGCAAAATGCTCAACTTATGAGAAAAAAAAAGTGCAGGAAACTTCAGCAAATACCAAAAAGATATAAGTAATATTCATTATGACCTATAATACAGTATAGGTAACAATGAATACCTGCTCTTCAATTCTGCAAGTTGATTCCACAGTCATCACCATCAAAATGTATACAGCAATGCAATATAAATTAGAAATCAATCACATTCTACTTCTTGCAAGTAGATTCCTGGCTTCAATTCAGTGAAAGAGTAATGACCTATATCTTTTAGCTTTGTACAGTATACAAATTATTTGCTCTACCTTCAAAAACATGATAGAACACTACCTCTAACCAGTATAGAGGAACATACCCCAACAATCACAAAAACTTAGTAGGATCTTATGAAACAAAACTGTAGTTAATGCTCATTAATTAAGAAGTTAATAATAACAGATGACAAAATTCCCACAGGTTTCAGCTTCAAATATGTGGTCATATCAAACTTATATGCTACTGAGTATACAGTTATGAAGTCCTGTAAGGCATGAGAAAATAGTTGGTTAGTTCTCTCAAAAATACAAGAAATCATCCACACCTGCACAGATACATCATCATTGCCGCCTTGTTCATTGTGTGTTACATTAAGAATCTTGGCTCCCTTTAAGTCACTTATCTGTGCTACCTCCTTGAACACATTGACATATGCATCAACCATCTGAAATATAATACAGTAGTATCAATGAGTAATGGATGAAACCTCTACAAAATGAGGGATAAAAATGAAATCCCAAATTATGACCAAGGGGCAAACCTTGTGACCTGAAAAATACATTCTAGTAGACAGGTCAAATTCATGAGACTGTGACAATTTAACGGCAAACATTTTCTTTTTTAACAAAATAAAAGAAACATATATGGCCACATTAAAAGTACTTTACTATCCTTAAAATATTAACCTGACCTTGGTAACCTGACTGTGGGAAAATCTCTCTGCTGATCCAAAAATACCAAGTAAGCGCTGTCCAGAAGAAAGGGCACGGAGCATTCAACAATATCTGAAATACATGGGTGACCTGTGTACTGCATCAACAACCTGTCCTCATGGTTACCAGGAACCCTCCATTTATGTGTCAGACTATATTCCAATATATTCCAGAAGTTTTAGAAGCAAAAATAAGAGTACATTTTGAGTACATTATCTCCCTACTTAACCACAGCCCCTAAAAAAGGAGGCAGCACTTTGGTTACAGGAGATGGTGGGCATGCTTACCCGTTTTGACAAATTAGTGACAGACAATTATATACTTTTCCTTACTCTTATGTAAAATGGTAATCAGCAAAATTTTTGGCATTACATGTACAAGGTAATTATATAAAATATTGTACAGGGTATTCAGTGTCCTATTGTGCACCTTGTGTCACCAAACCTAACCTTAGTTGATAAGAAAAACAAGCAGCAGAAGTGTTGTTAGAAGACCTCACCAACCTAACCAAAGAAACCTACCTACCTAACCTTACCTAACTAGCCATGAGGCTCCACCCTCCTGATCCCCTGGCATATTAAACAGAAAGAACTTACTATGACATGGTGTAATTTAATTTTTTTTTTGTGAGTGTGAGCAGCTGTCTGGTCCGTGTGACTCACAAACATACACTGGCAATTGACACTGAACGGAGATCATTGACCGTGTCCGACACACCACCCCGAGAAAGGCAAAGTAGTGCACGCCTAGTCGCCTAATTATCTACCAAAGGAAGCACTTTCCCCCAAAATGTATAGCATATCAGAACTCACTGATGAAAATGTACTTTAAAAACATAAACATCGAAACAAATAATGCATCGGCAGGTTAGTCATCAATAATAGTTCTCGCTTATACATAGTTTGCACCAGAAATACCATTGAAGAAAAGTGTCTTAAAATTTTCAAAATTACTGACTGCAACTACAGTACAGTGGTCCCTCGGTTAACGAGCACAATTCGTTCTAGAAGGTTGCTCGTTAACCGAAAAATTCATTAACCGAAACCATTGTTTCAATGGGTTTAGGATAATTGGTTCCAGCTCACCGAAAATTGCCTAAAGTCAACAAAACAGGTAGAGAAGTACACTTACTTTGAGGTGTGTATGTAGAAGGCTCGATGATGATGATGATGATGATGATGATAATCATGATGATGATGATGATGATAATGATGATGGGAATTAGAATGGGGTGGAGGAGAAGATAAGGCATTGGGGTGGAAGAGAAGTCACCCCATGGCGCCATTTCACCCATAAAATTTTAGTTCTCTTGGTGTAATTAAATATTATTTTCTTTAAATCAACACTGCACTGCATTACAGTATATAGTGTCAATATGTAAAATAAATTTCAAAATGACCAATAATTTGAATGGAAACACAGAAAAAAAGCATTTATGTTGAAGAGAGTCTGAACCAAGATGTTACCTCCACTGAAGACACAGAGACTGACGCCTGTATGGTGTGTTGACAGGCTGTTTGGCGCGCTAAAAACTAGTTTCCCTGTACTTAAATTATATTAAATAATTGTTAAAATGACTAAAAATTGAATAGAAGACTTTTAAAATTATTGAATAGTACAAACTTTTTGATATTTACTAAAATAGTAAGGAGTTTAAGCCCTAGAACCGATTACTGTACTGTATTGGCGGACTAATACTACAGCTGGTGGGCCGCCAAATGCAAGTGAAAACATGTTGAGGGGCGCTCGTAAGAAATTCGTTAATCGAGGGAATGCGCGTTAACCGAAGTTAAGAATCTTATGGAAGGTAATTCGTTAACTGAAATTTCGTTAACCGAGGCACTCGTTAACCTAGGGATCACTGTAGTATAAAATTTCCGATATTCGTTTAGTGGAAACAAGTGCAATAATACCTAAAATACTAACAATAATGATATGAACATCTGTGGAAAAAATGAACGAGATTGAACTTCCCCTTTTGGTGCCAGCTGTCTTCTCCAGGATTTCCAAATAATTATACTGCACTGTATACTGTATAATATTTAATCCAATTATTACCAGTCATTATATAAGAGGCATAATAGCTTGCACGTATACAGTACAGTACTCAGGAGCCCATAAATGGCAACAGTGCATAACAGAAAACAGATTGACTACAGGGTCAATTTAGGATAGTAACCAGGTTTCAGTTAGGTTAGCAAAGCACCAGAAACGAAGATCAGATTAATTCAAATCACAGCAAGAACCATAGGAATTTTTTTATGGAAAAATCTGGTAAGTATATAGGACTAACGCGTGGACACGTTATTTTTATTACTGTTTGTTTTCTTACATTATTTTCATCAGTGAGTTCTGATATGATAATTTATAGTGTAAATTGTTCGTTTCATAGATAATTAGGCGCCAAGGTGCGCACTAATTTGTATTGCAGGCGGTAATGAGGCCGCTCTCTGCCGAGGGGCTTTTCCTGCGCCCGGGGCAGTTTGTTTTTCATCATGTCGTGTGAAGGTTGTCGCCGATCTTCCATGGACGTAATTTGTGAATTTATGGGTAAAGACAACGAGACCCTTCAATTGTTTAAAGATCACGGCATTGTTCCTTTACATAGAGACTTTATTTTCTTACATTATCTTCATCAGTGAGTTCTGATATGATAATCATTTATTGTGGAACCCAACACAGTAATTCACTCCGCCACCCGGGGTGCAGAGTGCCGATGTGGCCGTATCATCTCACGTCCAGAAAATGCCTCAAATTTTGGTAAATTTGTATAAGTGCACCCAACTCTGTTAGAAAGTCAGAAATATATTTTTCTAGCGTATTTATGTGTGTTTAGATCGGTTATGACCTTCATTTCCATCTGAAATTGGCCTTTTTTTTTTAGCAATTTTTTTTTGGTGGGGCGTTTTCCGAAAAAAATAATAACTAAGCGAATACAAAACAAAAAAAACACTAGAAAAACATAAACCTGACCTGACCTAACCTAACTGACTCTCAACATATGATGGAATCACTTATTTCTTACCTTATTGGCCTGGTTCTCATTTGTCGTTGGAGTTACCACAAAGCCACATATGTTGGTCTTGACGATATTTACATTTGTTTTTGCACTTTGGACACTTAACTGAGGTCGGGAGAACACCAGAAGATCGAAAAAATGCTATAGTTTCTTAATTTTTTCCCCAAAAACTCGCAATCAGCTCCATATAATTGAAGTGACACCCATCGCAGACTTCCATGGTCGGAAATGAATTTGAATTTCGAAATACGAGACCCAAAATAAAAATTGAATTTGATTGGGCCAATAATACCGCGAATTAAATCACAAATCATTTTAATTGGTTGCAAAAAAAAAAAAAAAAAACGCTTTTGATTGGCCGCGTGACGTGTATGGGAACGCATGAGTGTGATGATTTCTGAAGGAGCCACGCAGTGTGGGAGGTGAGGTAGGCGATAATGGCGGAAGATTAATGGAAGAAAATAGAGAAAATTTTGGATACGCTATCTGCGTTATTATACATTTGCAACGGTATTGTAATAGATGAAAATTATCTTATAATTAGATGTCTTATTCGAATATGATAATAGATTAGGGGTAGGAATGTCAGGTGCGGAAATACAATAAAACCAAAATTTCACCATATCATAGTAAGTTCTTTTGGTTTAATATACCCCCAGTAAGGAAGTTAGGTAAGGTTAGGTAGGTTTGTTTGGTCTGTTTTTCAAACCCACAAATGTTAAGTAATGTTTATTTTTAAAATATCCATTTTAACATATTTCCACAAACTACAAGTATCCACTATAATATAACAGTGAAAATCCGGCATTTTTTTTCAATCAATTTAGCTCGCAGTTTAGTCCTATATAATTACCCAAATCGGAACCTGGCTACTATCATAAATTGAGACTACCCTATCAGCCAGTTTGCCGACCACAGGATAATTAAATAATTAAGTACGTGATGTTATTAGCACACTCACTTTATGAGGTATTGTATACCTTACCAGACCCCCACCACAAACGAATAACATCACTTTGGTATTATTGCGTTTACACACCGTTCATTCCAACTACTAATCTATTATCATATTTGAATAAGACATCTAATTATAAGATAATTTTCATCTACAGTATTACATTACTGGCGGAAATGTATAATAATGGAGATAACATATCCAAAATTTTCTCTATTTTCTTCCATTATCGCCTGCCTCACCTCCAACACTGCGTGTCTCTTTCATAAATCATCACGTGCATGCGTTCCCGTACACGTCACGCGGTCAATCAAAAGCGTTTTGGTATTATTGCGTTTACACACCGTTCATTCCTACCACTAATCTATTATCATATTCGAATAAGACGTCTAATTATAAGATAATTTTCATCTATTACATTACCGGCGGAAATGTATAATAACTGAGATAGCTTTTACAAATTTTTTTTATTTTTTTCCATTAACCTCCCGCCATTATCGTCTGCCTCTCACCTAACACTGCATGTCTCTCGCGTCTCCATAAATCATGACGTGCATGCGTACACGTCACGCGGCCAATCAAAAGCGTTTTTGCTTTTGGAACCAATTAAAATGGTTTTGGGTTTAATTCACAGTATATTTGGCCCAATCAAAATCGAGTTTTATTTTGGGTCTCATATTTTGAAATTCAAGTTCAGTTCCGACCATGGAAGTCTGCGATGGATGTCACTTAAAGTATATGGAGCTGATCGCGAGTTTTGGGGGAAAAAACGTAGAAACTATAGCATTTTTTCGATCGCATGGTGTTCTTCCAACCTCAGTAAAGTGTACTAAGAGCAAGACGGAATGTAAATATCGTAAAGACCAACATATGTGGCGTTGGGTAAGAATCCCAGAATGCAACGACGAACAAGAACCAGGCCAATAAGGTAAGAAATAGGTGATTCCATCATATGGTGAGAGTCAGTAAGGTTAGGTTAGGTTTTTGTTTTCTAGTGTTTTTTTTTTTTTGTATTTTTTAGTCGCTTAGCCACCTTTTTTTTCCGGAAAACGTCACAAGAAAAAAAAATCGCCAAAAAACCCCCAGCTAATTTCCGCCAAAAATGAAGGTCCTATTCGGTCTAAACACACACAAATACACTTGAAAAATATATTTTTTACTTGCTAAAAGTGAACGGTGTGACAATGCAAATTTACTCAATCAAATTTACCTTCACTTTTACCAAATGTGAAATTAATTACAGAATAACACCAAATAAGAAAACTTATGCTTGAAGCTTATTGTAATGCTTATCACCAACTCCAAAGGCCAAGCAAATTATCACAAACATTTACGCAAATTTAGAATGACAATACATTTTACTTCAGCTAAGTTTTAAAATATATTCAATTGGTCATATTCAATACCTTGGGAGATGTAATACAGCAACTTGGCGGTGAACAGCGTCTAACAGCCTTGATAAACAACCTCTACTCCGGCAGTGACTCGTCTGGGTATCGTCCTGGCTCACAGTCGAGTTGCTAACTAGCTTAAACACGCTAGATATACAGATGCTACATTTTCTCAAGGTACTGTATCTAGTTTTGATATTAGTTGAAACGTTTAGTACAACACATATATGGTTATGTTTACAACACAAGAGGCTTTACTTAATAAAATTACTCCAGATCAAATACATCCCGGTCTTCTTTATCAAAGTTACTGCAGAACGAGTGTCGAGCCATGATAGTAAGAAGCTGATAGCTGGTACAGCGGTAACACACTTATCTCTCACCAATATGTCAAGAGTTGGCAGTCTTCGGTTTCCTCCTGTACTAACACTATATACACCAACCGCCCGAGCGGCTAGTAAGCTGATAAATGGCTAAAACATAAAAATAGTGCAGGCACATAGCAACGGCAGCACGCCAACCCAACAGACCTCAGAGTTCCACCCAAGACATAATTTTTTGTCAAAAGTTTCTGACTGTACGTTAATTTTTTCACGCAAACTCTATGTGACCATTGTTACAGGATTTTCCTCCACTTAACTCTCAATAAAACCCCTTACCCCAAACTGTGCAGGCGACCTACATTACACGTCCATCTGCTACTCTTCACACTCCTATGACGTTTTCTTTATCAATAAGATCAACTTGGGGCTCCCTACGCTCAAGGTATATATAAATAACAAGAACAAAATATACCTAAATTTATCAATGATTTCATCAATATTAAGGTTCTGCAAAATAACACATCTAATGTTCATAAGAGACAGAAAATTGAGACGTTGCTAGGACATCGTTGAACGAAGCTCATGTTTTATATGCTTCAACTTCGAGAATGTTTGGATTTTGGGGCCCCTTAGAGTCGGGGGGCCTGAGGCCAGTGCCTCAAGTGCCTCATGGTTAATCCGGCACTGGTATATAAACTCATCATCATAGTATAATAGAAATAGTAGTAAATGGTATGTTATTTATGACTTTTCTCATAATTTAATCACTCAGAAACTCGCCAAATGACACTCGCCACCCTAACACGGAAATTCCTGGGTTAGTCCGGCATACACTTAACTACCTGTCAAGGCCGGATCCAGGTGGAGAGGGGGGGGGTCATAGAGGTACTGTGGAGTTATTTGATATTGGTTCACACTCAGGATGGGATGGAGAAAGGAAACCCACAATGTGCTCTCTGTTTACATATTGTATTGGTACAATGCAGCTTGTTGCTGGGTAGGCAGCATAGTTACAAGCGTTGAGTAGAGAGAGCTGGTTGGTGAGGATGCCCAGATGAGGGCACGCAGCTTGAGGGACGCCATGGTCACCGGCAAGAGCGGGAGCCGCCAGGCTGGCGCGGAGGAGGTGTTGCTTGCTGGTGGCAGTGAGTAGAAAGAGGCTGATCCCAGCGGTGTCAGGTCTTATAAGGCGGGGCGTACTGTACGTGAAGAAGTTATGAACACCCTTCCTCTTTCATCTCCTTTTACCTTCAGAGCCTATAAGGCTTCCCTCTGAGATGTTTATAAATTTCAGTCAGATCACCCCTTGCTGTCTATAATATAAGCTAGGCAGTTGCAGACGTTCTAATCCCTCTGGATAACTGAGGTGCCGTAGTGCAGGCACCAGTCTGGTGGCCCTCCTTTGGAGACCAGACAGGGTGAAAATACTCCAGACGGGGAAGCACCTCACGGACCGTCTAGATATCTGAACGACCTTCCTATAAGACAGTGGCCCGAGAACTTAGGTTCATTGTCGACATACACACCCAGGTCCTTTTCACATTCGGTCTCAATTAATGCAGTCTTTTCGTCCTGTTGGGACATGTGATAGCCCTTCACAAAATTATAATGAACAGTGGAAGTATAACACACAGGCCACTGGCCTCCCTCCCTCGGTATGGCACCTCTAGTCACTAGTGGATAGGCATTAGGTAAATAAACATCTGTATGACCCACGACCTGTTGTTGTTAATTTACCAAACAACAGGGTACCAGGTCACGTCCAACTGCTTGGCTTGGTGTGACCAGCACAGTTTTAAACTTTACGTAATGTCGTGTGTACAGTACACAGTTGTTAAGCATTGAATATCACGGATGTATTATGCATCACATACAATATACCTTAAATATAAACAGAATCGGAGATATGATTATTCTATTACTTTTAAACTCAACATCATGACGTACTTCGATATAGTATGAATAAGATAGCTAATTTTAATTAAAAGATTATAAATATTGCATACTTTCAAAACTTAACTGTTACGAAACTTAAAAGTCACTTATCGTGATTACATAATACATTTGAGTAACATTAAAAACAGTAAATTTGTCAGAAATACACTATTATATTGGACCGTCAAGAGTACAGTGAGAAAGGCCCGTGAAAATACTAAACTGTTCACAGTCAACAGTCAGTCCCTGGTGCTGAACAACAGAAGGAAGAGCAACTACTGTAAAGTGTCTGATAAAGAGAAGAATATTTGTTTGATTATAAGGTTTTGTCTGATAAAGTGACAAATACTGTAAGAAAATCATGGGTAAGAAGAAAGATAAAGAATGCACTCATGGCAGTGACCACCAAACTCGGTCTGCGTCAGTAGAAGCTCAGAGTCAGCCTCAGGGTGAGTTACTGTGTTTGTAATGACTTAAAGTTTGATAATGAGCATTTTGGTTATTCTGGGTGTACGGCTCATGTCATTTCCATGCCTTGCGAGCTATCTTGGTGAGCTAATGCTCTGGAATATTGTCTTGTGAAAACCAGGAACTATAGGAAATTTTTCGATAGAAAAAAGGCAGTGGATATTTTGCCCTGACTGGCTAACTTCCTACTAACGCTATTTTACCGTGAGTGAGCTCCGATTGGCTAACCTTCCATTACTGGCAAACAAAGAAAGAACTATATATGACTATGACTGGTGGCATTTGACATTCATTTCACAATGAATCGATCATTGTGTAGCTATAGCATACATAACCATTAGAAGCTGTTTGACTTGGCTAATTTTTGGTATTATTGTATTTCCGCACCCGACATTCCTACCCCTAATCTATTATCATATTCGAATAAGGCCTCTAATTAAAGATAATTTTCTTGTTACATTACCGTTGCAAATGTATAATAACGGAGAGAGTGGATCCAAAATTTTCTCTATTTTTTCCATTAATCTTCCGCCATTATTGCCTACCTCACCTCCCACACTGCGTGTCTCCTTCATAAATCATCACGCGCATGCGTTCCCGTACACGTCACGTGGCCAATCAAAAACTTTTTTTTTTGCAATCAATTCAAATGATTTGTGGTTAAATTTGCAGTATTTCTGGCCCAATCAAATTCGATTTTTATTTTGGGTCTCATACCTGTATTTCGAAATTCAAATTCATTTCCGACCATGGAAGTCTGTGATGGGTGTCACTTCAATTATATGGAGCTGATTGCGAGTTTTTTTTGGAAAAATTAAGAAACTATAGCATTTTTTCGATATCCTGGTGTTCTCCCGATCTCAGTAAAGTGTCCTAAGTGCAAGAACGAATGTAATTATCGTCAAGAACAACATATGTGGCATTGTGGTAACTCCAACGATGAACGAGAACCAGGCCAATAAGGTAAGAAATAAGTGATTCCATCATATGGTGAGAGTCAGTTAGGTTAGTTTAGGTCAGATTTATGTTTTTCTAGTGTTTTGTATTTGTTTAGCAATTATTTTTTTCGGAAAACGCCCCACCCCAAAAAATCGATAAAAAATAACCGGCCAATTTCCGACGGAAATGAAGGTCATAACCGATATAAACAAACATAAATACGCTAGAAAAATTCATTTTTGACTTTCTAACAGAGTTGGGTGCACTTATACAAATATACCTAATTTTTTTTCCACATGTTCTTATCATTATAAAAGAGGCGACATTTACTAATAGGACCGAATGGACCCTGACCTAGCCAACCAAAGACACTTACCTAACTTCCTCGCCAGGGGGGCAGACCCCCATCATATTAAACAAAATGTACTTTGCCAATCAGAGCACACTCACGGTAAAGTAGCGTGAGTATGAACGTAGCTGCTCAAGGCAAAATATTCACTACATAGAAAAGGTAATCCTGGAGGAGATGGCTAACACCAGAAGGTATTGTTCAATTTTGTTATTTTTTTCCACAGGTGTTATTTCCAGTAAGTATTTAAAAGTGGCAAAATTTATTAGAACCTGACCTAACCAACCAAAGAAACTTACCTAACTTCCTAGCCGAGAAGTTCTGACCCTGGACCCCCCGTCATATTAAACAGAAAGTACTTATTTTGATATCTGGTACTGTACTAATAAAAGCAACTTTGTTGAAGCTTCATGGTGTAATTTTAATTTTTTTGTGGATGTGAGAGTACGCTTGGACTGAGTAGGTCAATTGTAAACAACGAGACAACATGCATTGATGACAGATATTTTGGAGGAGTTTTTACGGTAAATAATTAATTTCTTCACGTACAAAGTAAGTAGGGACATCATTCTGTGGTTGACCTATTCTAAATCTTAACCCTTACTTTTGTTTCCCCAAGTTTTTGGTCCATGCATGCTAGGATGCCTTGTTTGTACTTCTGCTGTTGACAAATGCTTCTCGGTGACCGACCGAACACTAAGCAGTGACCTTTTCATACCTTACCGAAGCAAATCTACCTAATTTAATATAGATTAAACCTACCAAACCTAACCTGAAATAGTATACTTCCATGTAGGTTTGGTTGGTTCATATATTTTTAGTGACATCATTATTATATTGTACAGTATTTGTAATGTAGCAAGTCAACATTGCATCAAGGAGCTAGCACATTGATGTAGATTTGTGTTCAGGACAAAAATAATTGAAAAAATTATAAATAAAACATTGCAATTCCTCCCCTTTTTGGTTTGTTTTGATATTCTAGAGGTACAGTAATAAAAATTGTTCTTCTATACAAAATGTTTCTAAAGTCTGGTTTCCTGACCTGGCAACCCAGGGTTCCTATAAACCATAGGTACAGATTTTTTCAGAGCTGCTATATGTATGTTGAAACAAGAGTGAAGATAATTGACAGGTCTGTATGTCTATTACCAAAAGTAATTACCAGACTTGATGTTTCAGACTCAGCGATGAACACAGTCAAGAAACCCAAGAAGCATAAACATAAGAAATCCTCCAAGAAGGAAGAGGTCGAGAGGATCATCAACGTAGAAGATATTGAAGATGTGGACATCTCTGTGGATGATATTGATGACTCGCCAACACAAGGCTTGAAACTGAAGATTAAGCTGCCTGACTCTTCACCAGAAAAACCGTACGTTGATTTGTGTTGCGGTCTTTCGTGCAAATTAATCAGAGTTAAAAAAATTACTACAAATACGATTACAAAACTACTGCAGTTCCTTTTGAGGCTAAATGAATTGTCTCATCTGAAACTGCTCCAGGATTGTTTAGTTATGTTCTCTGCTTAAAAAAAAATTAATTCAGCAGTTCCTGGCCATAGTATTTTTCTAAATTTTGTCATCAAATTAGTGTTTCTGTTTATGAGTGTTTCAAATATTCAGTGTGTCTTGAACTTGGGTTTACTAAAAATAAATTTTCTTCTTACATAGTTATTTACCTTTCCTATAATACACTTTATTGGTCCATATACAATTGTGTTCCTTCATAAGCACCTTGTTTTGTGATCATCCTTACCTTATTGAAATAAAAAAAGTTCAGTCATGTTACAAGAGTGGAAGGTTTGTTAATTAGCTTTTAAGAAAGTTGTTTCGCTAATTTAATGTTTGATAACAAATTTTAGAACCACGCCAAAATCTGTCAAGGTAAAATCAGAGAAGACGAAGACATCAGGATCCAAGAAGAGTGGTAAGAAGAAGGATGGTAAGGGGGAAGACGACACAGATAGTGAAGAAGAACGCTGGCTGGATGCTATTGAGTCTGGCAAGTTAGAAGAGGTATTGATGAACCATTTGGTGTTTGTAAAACTTGACTTGTTATACACATTTTTGGTTACAAGGTTTATGTTGAAAGTATATTAACTACTGTACATTAGGTAGATTATATGAAGATTAGGCACTCAAGCTTATTTCATGTGATGATTAAGCACCCTAGTGCTAACCAAACCTAACCCCTCCAGGTAGCATTGAGGTGTAGAATTATCAGATGAAATAAGCTTGGATGCCTAAACTTGATGTGATCCCTGTAATGTTGGTTAGATATGATTGAGTCTGGCATGAGAAGAGGTTGTGTTGAACAGTTTGATATGTATAGAATTGACAGTGTTTTCTCTTTTGATCACAGATGTTTAATGAAAATGTAATTACTGTACTGTCCATGCCTCTCATATCCTTCTTGGTCTTCCCTTGTTCTGCCTACCATCTTTTATCAATGTTCTTACTGTTATTTATTGAATGTATCTCACCAGTTGACGTGTCTTTTTGTCTTTAATAAATTTTATTTGGCAACCAATTTATGGATGTTCCAGTAGAGAATCTTGAGATATTTCTTTCTCTGGAGGAATTGGTGTTCACGAGGACTAAACCAAAATTGTAATTACTGTACTACATGTGTCTCTCTGTTGGGGCTTGAATTTCATTAGGAATGGGAATGATAGATGTCACATTGATACTCTATTTGTTGTAAAAAAATGTGTCTAGTTTTTAATGTTACAAAGAAAAACTACAATACCTCAGGGGAGCCACTTTAAGGAAAAAATATTAGTGATGAGTCATAGCTTTCCAGAAGTGAATGGACTTAGAAGGAATCTGAATGTGTTATTGATAAGGGGGAGAGAGAGAGAGAGCTACATACTTGTACGTGGATGGAAAAACATGAATACAGTACTGTACAGTATTTATGGTATCATGACTGATGAATGGTGAAGTACAATCCTTCTTATTAATAAATACAAACTAGTATGATGGTTCAAATTTTTTTTTGAGAGTTCTCACTGGGATTATGGCAATAAAAGGTATTGAGTGACAAAGTAGAGCATATGACAATATTTTGATAAATAAATGATTGTACAGGAGTTTAATGAACATATATTTTGTCATAGAGAGGATGAATAAGTTTGTGGAAATATTTTTCACATCTTTAAGAATGAATACAAGGAAATATGTAGAAAGATCCTCACTTTGAGAACTTGCTAGTTATGATTAATTATAGACTTTGACATTTGGACTGAGAGTAGCTGTGTGCAACAGATAAATGCAGTACTTTGTTCAGTCTCTGTGTAATGGAAGGGAAGTAACAATGTTATGAGCTTGCACAAGTACAATTGAATGATTCTAAAACCTAAAAGGAGACAACAAAGTGTAAATGAAACAAAAGAAAATGAACCAATATGGGGTTACAGTACAAGTGTGACATCTGAAGTTGTCATAGATTACAAAGAATGTTTTTTTTATTGTTCCTTATTCTGTATTTCATTTATATATTCTTTCAGGTTGATGATGAACTAAAGAGGATGAAGAACCCTAGACTGATGACTGCTCGACAGCGGGCGATGTTAGAAAAGGAAAAGAAGAGTGATGGGACAGATGACACATTCCCAGTTATACCAGCTGAGCCTCTTCTGTCACTTCCCTCAGGTTAAGACATTTTTAATGTTAATTTTGATTTAAGATTTTAAGTTTAATTTTGCTAAAACAAACTTTGTGTAACTCAACATCCCCATCACTTAGTAATGACCTGACTGTGACTAAGTGATCTCATTATTGGATCAGTTTAACAAGTACAGTACAGTAGTCAGGGTTAGCTAACTATCTTCTCAAAAGAAGATGTTTCCAAGAAGTCATTTTTTTTTTCTTTAATTTAATTTCAGAGGCAGCCTCCATAAAGGCTGATTTTCTCTGGGCCAAGCACCCTGGATATTTAGACGGTGTGAACACTTAAATTGTACAGTCCTGGTAGTATTGCCTTCATGACTTGGGTTTCCATTAAATGTTTTAGATTGAAGGCCCAAAAAAGATTTTGAGAGGCTTACGTGCTATAAATTGTTAAAATAATTGGGTTAAACTAGAGACTGTGAGTGATGAATACACATACAGTACTGTACTCCCGGATAATGGGCGGATTTTTATTTTGCGGTCCTCTATTATTCACAGATGACACCCTGGATATACTCAAGAATGTCTGAGGGTAGTTTTAAAGTTGCCGGCATTTTCGTGGCCGGGACAGGGAGCCATTCGTTCTAGCGACAGTAATTTCCTTTACCTGTACCTTACTGTATACAAATAAATATTGATTGGAAAATCCTCTCACAAATAATCAGAAACAAATGTAGTATTAAAAATGTTGAGTCTACCCTCAAGTCTACTCCATGCTTTGTTATTAATAAAGCATGGATTAGACTTGAGGATAGACTCAACATTATTAATACTACATTTGTTTTCAATTACTTATGAGAGGATTTTCCCATCAATATTTATGTGTATGTATTTTGTGTGTGTGTTTCCACATATATACAATACAGGTAAAAGAAATAATTGACCTAAGGGCAAACACAAAGGGAATGCCCATTTTTTTGTACACAAGTAAAAATTTAACCCCCCCCCCCCCAGTTGGCAAATGTTATTCACGGATTTGGCGATTCATGGCCATTTTGAGAACATAACCCCTGCGAATTTGAAGGTCCTACAGTATAAGTAAAAGTTAACTATAATAGTTGGATTCAATTTTTTTTCCATTATCTATTAAATAAAAATAAAGTTCTAGAAACTTAAAATCTTGCTGTGTCATATATATGTTGGTATAAAATATTAAGTAGATAAGATCAGTGAACCTTAGAATTTATCAAAGTAAATCTGTTTCCAGGTTTTAAAGAGAAAGTTATCACACAAGAAATGCTGGCCAAAAAAGCCATGAAAACACAAAAGAGAAGAGAACAGGCACAGGAAAAGAGGGAGGAAGATAAGGTATGTTTAATGGAAATAATGATTGTAAAGATGACAAGGTTTACAGGGTTTTTTTTTTACACGGGGATTAGCCCACCCGGGCACAGGTCACTGACCCACATCAGGGCCTGGGGGCAAAAATGTAATAATAATAATAATAATAATAATAATTCATAGTAAATAAAATGTATAATAAAAAAAAAAAAAATACAGTGGTCCCTTGGTGAACAAACACAATTCGTTCCACTGAGTCGTTCGTTAACCGAAAATTTTGTTTACCGAATCTATTATTTCAATGGGATATTGGGTAATTGGTTCCAACTCACAGAAAAGTACATAGAAAGTATAAACAAAATGCAGAGGACAGTACACTTACTTTGAGGTGTGTATGTAGAATGTTGCTGGTTGATGATGATGGGAATTAGAAGTGGAGGAGGAGAAGGGAGAAATGAAGGAAGTGGGGGTGGAGGAGAAGGGATAAGAGAAGCATTTTAATGCTTCTTGGGAGGCGAGTCACCTTCCATAATAATTTCAGGAACCTCTGGACTGACAAATTCGCTAACATGAAAATCCTCTCTCCTTTTGGAGAGGAACACTGAGGGGAATCATCTTTCTCACCCATGCTTGATGCAGTAATTTCACCAATAAAATTTTAAGTTCACTTGCTGTAATTAAAGATTATTTTATTTAAATGATTACTGCACTGTGCTATATATTATCAATATGTTAATTAAATTTCAGAATGATCAATAATTTTAATCTAAAAACGTAAAAATACTTTGTACATTGTTCAAGAGACCAACAAATACGATGTTTCCTCCACTGTAAACAAAGTTAAACAGAGACACTTTGGCGTGTAAGTCAAGCGGCTGATAGGCGCACAAAAAGTAATTCCCTTTACTGCATATATTATCAATATGTTAACTAAATTTTAAAATGACTAATAATTTTAATATAAAAAATGCAAAAAATATTAAAGAGCTAAACCTTCTTGACATTTACTCTACTGGAAGTGAGTGTAAACAGAACCGATTACTGTATTGGCGGACTAGCTGATAAGATGATACGCACAACAAAACATGTTTGTCGGAAGACTTTTGTTAATCGAAGTTTTGTTAGTTAATCGAACTGAAAATCCTTATGGGAGCTAATTCGTTAACCGAAATTTTGTTAATCGAACCGTTCGTTAACCGAGGGACCACTGTATAATAATACTACTACTAATAATAGAGAACCATAAATACAAAAATGAAAAAAATAAATCAATAGTGAAAAACACTACTGTATATGTATGCTGTGTTGTCAAAGTAAGAAAACAATTGAGACCCTGCAATTGTGTGTAAATGAGGCAGAAAGTCAGATCAGCAACCTGGAACTTGGGCACAATTTTCGTGATGCCATATGGCAGCAGGGTCTACCATTAGACAACACATTAAGCTTCCAATATCTTCCCAGGCGGTAGTACCTTCTTGAAAGGAGGAAGTGAAGGTAGGCTTAGTGGATGCATCAATTATCAAGAAAAAGACACGTTGATTGAATATGTTAATCAGCAGGAGGAAGAAACTTTTTTAGATAATGTTTTAACAGCTGACATCTGGTAAGTACAGTAAAACCACTACAGCAGAACCTCAATAAATCGGACCAATAAGGGTAGACCCCAGTCCAAAAATGCGAAAGATAAAAAAAGCGAATATATGGAGATGAAACACTGCTTATCTGAACTGATTAAAGAGAATCAGTTATGTTATGTTATGTTATTCCTGCACTTCAACAACAAAGGTCTTTAAGTGTATAATAAGGTTATTAAAAGAAAATTACATCAACAATAAAAATATATGAAAAAGAAACACTCTGGGTTGAAAATCACACTTAAGTCTGGTAGTCAACAACTGTTGTCACCGAGATGATTGTTATTTACTGTAAAGTTTTATATGGAAGCAACCACAGAATTTATTTTATGAATAAAGAGAAAACTGTATACTGTACAGCACTACAAGGATAAAAATAAGAACAAATAAGTGTAGGATTATATTGTATGTGGAAGACAAGAGTTTATCTGGGAGCAGCTGGCAGAGGGGTGGGGAGGAAGGGTAGAACGTGCAGGTTGCTCCCTCTCCATCTCTCCCCCATGAGTCATTTGCTTTCAAAGAGCAAACAGCTGATTGGCTTACTGCAACATCTGTGTTGAACACTTGACAGTACAGATTTGCATTTTCCGGACTGGGGTCTGCCCCAATTAGCCCAGTGTATCTAGGTACAGTACAGTGATATCTCCGTTAGGCGGGACAATTGGTGCAGAGCATTTTCAGGAATGAGATATTTCCGGGTAATGAGATGACTCTTTCAAATCCGGGGAAAAAAATCCCTCTTCCCCAGAATTTTCCGGGTAATGGAAAAATTTTCTCAAAAGTTCCAGGTTATGCATTATTTCATCTCTGAAAGCTGGAAAAAAAAATCCCGTCCCCGGAATTTTCCCGGTAATGGATAAATGATCTCAGAAATTCCAGAATGATACAATATTTCATCTCTCAAAGCCTGGGAAAAAAACCCATTTCAGGAGTTTCCGGGTAATATAAAATTTTCTCAGAATTTCCGGAAAATGCACCTGATTTTTGTCTCAAACCTGGACATAACTCCCCCATCCCCGGAATTTTCTGGGTACTGGGAAAATTTTCTTGGAATGTTCCAGAAAATGTGCCCCTCGGAAAATCATTCCCAAAGCTGGAATTCTCTCAAAATTCCAGCTTTGGGAACGAATTTCCGAGAAAATTTCAATTCCCGCTATCGAAGAATTCTGGGTTTGAGGGATTCTGGCTAACTGAAATATTGCTGTACATATGTTAAGTCTTGGCTCACTTTCTCACATCTTATGTTTGGAAGATAATCTTTATCTTTACTGTAAGAATATCAAACTGGTACTGTAGGGTGTGTTCTTTATCAGTAAATCCACAAACAATTTTGATTATACAAAAAGTAATATCCAGCACCTACGAACTTGAGATTGGCAAAGTCTATTTACTGTTCCTTTGTAATGACAAATGTACCAAATACAGGTACAGTATAGTCTCCATTTATGCGGATTTACTTTACGCGTTTGGTCATTTACGCGGCACATGACTAGACGCGTCATCCATCAGTTACGCGGTACATTCCATCATTTATGCGGCGCGTGGGAGGCCCAGACGCGCCAACTATTAGTTACGCTGTCCATTCTTGACCATACGCGGGAAGCGGCGCGGGGAGGGTGCGCAGTATGTCGCTCTTACGTTATCGCTGACGTCATATGACGTATCAGACTGTGATTGGGCTACGCATCCTTACCTCCCTCCGCCGCTAACTTTGATTGGTCTAATGTAACACGACGTGCCCTGTCCTGCCGGAGGGTGAGTCGCTGACCTAAGCTGCGCCAGTCTCACTGTTCTCAGTTTCCACATACATGTATACTGTTCTCTCTTGTGCCCGCTAATCCGTTCAACAATGGCGTCTGCTGGACCCCCACCACCCCCGAGAAACCTTGAATTACCTGGACCCAGTCACCCAAAGCCAAAGAAGATACGACTCGCTTTAAGCTATGAAGTAAAATACAAAATCGTGCAGGAGTTGGAGAAAGGAACGAGACAAGTTGATTTGGCGCGCCAGCATGGCATGAACGAATCTACGATCCGGACAATCAAGAAGGATGCCGCCAAGATCAAAGAACACATGAGCATCACAAAGTCTGCAGGTTCATCAATGGTTAAATATTGTCAGAATAAGGTGCTGCTCAAGACTGAGGGTTTATTGGTGAGCTACTTGATTCGTCAGGCGAGAAGGAACATGGCGGTGGATACTCGCGTGGTGCAGGACTACGCCGCGGAAAATGGGAGTTGCAGAGCCCAAACACTTCACTGCTTCCGCTAGGTGGCTGCAAGGGTTTAAAAGACGTAAGAAAATAAGAAACATTTAAATTGTTGGTGAAGGTGCTAGTGCTGACCGTGCTGCGGCGAGTGATTTTCCTCCATTCTTATGAGAAATTATGGAGGAAGGACAGTACACCGACGGCCAGGTGTTCAACATGGATGAATCCGGTCTCTTTTGGAAGAAATTACCTTCCAAGACATTCGTCGTTAAGTCTGCCAGCAAGTGTAGGGGCCGGAAGTTGCAGAAGGAGCGCATCACCGTGCCTGTTCACCACCAATGCCTCTGGCACCTGTAAGCTCAAGTTGTCTGTGATCCACACAGCCCGCAAGCCGCACGCCTACAAAAACATGGACATGACCAAGCTAAATGTCGTGGATGTTCACTGGTCTGTCCCTCTCCTGCAATTCTGCAAGCAACATAATGTTCCATTTAACATTTTGTTGCTCCTTGATAACGCACCAGGACACTCGCCCCTATTGCTGGATCATCGCCCCAATGTAAAAGTGGTCGTCCTTCCCCCTAACACTACGTCATTAATCCAGCCCATGGATCAAGAGTTGATATGTAATGTCAACTCTGCTTTCTCCAAAAAGAAGTTTTGGCTCCTTAATGACTTGACCAACACCAAGGATGAATTGCGGAACCTGAGTGACACCGATAGCGAGGACGAGGATCCAGAAGAGTTGGCGGAGCATGAAATGCGCGTCAAACAGTTTTGGAAAAAAATTTACGTCAAGAAATCTGTTGATTTCTTGGTGGAGGCATGGGGGCAGCTGTCTGTGGCAACGATTCGTCATGCGTGGCGGCATGTGTAGCAGGGTATCCCAGGTGGGAGGCAGAGTCAAGCGGTGGCTGGTGAGGTTCAGTCTGTTGTAGCGGCATTGGACCTTGCAAGAGAGGCTGCACAGAGTGTTACAGCAGCAGGCTTCTCCGAGACAACCAACTGCGATATCCTGGAGGTAATTAGGCAACCTGAGGTGACCGCCGACGACTTGCTGGAAGATGATGACGTAAGTGAGGCTGCAGGTGGTACAGCAGAAAAAGAAGAACAAACGTTAAGTCATAGTGATGTAAAGGATGCCATCGAGTATGTCGAGAAGAAAGTCAAGCTCATCCTTTCAAAAGACCCAGCGAATTACCGCTATGAAGTTACTAATAACCTCCTGTTGCAATCTATGGAGCCGTATATTCAGTTGTATCACGACAACATCAATGCTAGTCGTCAACTCAATATTACGGAATTCTTTGCCCGCAACCAACCACAACCACAGCCAGCCCAAGTCAGTGACAGTGACGATATGGACTTTGAGGGGTTTGTCAGGGAGGCCCTGCAAACCTCTGTGAATAGTGATAGTGATTCACCGGAGTGCCACTAATCTGCCCTCTGCCTCGGAACCAGCCGCCATCCCCGTATGCCGACCCATCTCTTCTACTAACATAAGTGTTAAACACCTTCATATTTGTACAGTAGTGTAGTTTTTTATTTAGATATTATATATGTGTCAATACCATCATAAAATTATGATGTTATTTCTACTACAAGGTACGTATTGTGTCGGAAAAAGTGGAGTTTGGGAGTCTGCCCAGTCTCTATTTCAATTAATCCATATGTTTTGTCATTTCATTTACGCGTTCCTTGCTTTACGCGAACCTCCACGGGTTCAATTGACCGCATAAATGGAGACTATACTGTATCTTGTTCTTTTTAAGGATGCCCTTTTTGTGGTACTGCAATTTTTTTATTTATTTTTTTTAACTGATAAAAACATCCTACAATATTTTTCTGTTCCCATTTAGTTTGTAATGAATGATTGTTATTAGAAAGATGGAATGTGGCTGTTGTGACTTTTTAATCATCGTTATTGTTGAAATTTTTAACCTATGTACTTGTTCTTTATAAAAGTTGAGCTTGTATGTCATTATTTTGTGATGCATTACTGTCATAACTCTTGGGTATGTTTAATTGATGTTTTCCTCATTACAGAAAAAAACAGTTGACCGACTACTGAAAAAGCAAGATTCAAAAGTAGGCAAAATTAGCAGACTTAAATTCTCAAAAAAGGAAATTCCCATGTATTCATATATCAACAACAAAGAGATGGCGACCCTGTCTGTTCCAGTTTCTTTTCCTTTTCCAATGGAGCCCCAGTCTGAAAGGTAGACATTCTTTTCATAGTACAGTATAATATTTATGCATTTCTCTCAACTCCCTACCAGGCCAAAGTTGTTAACTCCCTGTCAGTCCCAAGGTGTTAACTCTCTGTCAGGCCCGAGGTGTTAACTCACTGTCAGGCCTGAGCCATCATCTTATTTCTTACCATGTTTTTAATGAGCCTGAAAGAGGTATAACTGCTATTTATTTATTTAGAAAGGCTTCACATCTCATCCCTTCCTACTTTCTATTCTACTGTGAGGTGTACTGGTAGGTGTATTATTCATCAATCTGTGACTTACCAGGTGTGTAAGCATCCTTACCATCACCTCCCAATGTACTGAATATTTGCAATTTTCTTTTAATTCCTTAATTACCTTTTCCTATGTATTAGTTTTTATTGATAATTAAACTATGGGTAATTATTGCTACACCAGCAGGTCTATGCTGAATCTGTTGACACAGATATACTGTACTGTATATAGGGATGTAGCATTAGGTGCCTTCCATCTATATGTGAACAAATCGTTTTCCGAGATCTGCAGCTGGATCACTATGAAATCTCCAGGAATGTTGTGTGTCTAAAAAAATAAAATAGGTTATTTTCATGTTATATTAATTAGCAGGGCATTCACAGCTGCTATTTGTTTGTTTGCCTTTGTTACATTTATATGGGGAACATGCATAAATGGTGCATGCCCCATCCCTTAATTTTTGTGTCAAAAATTAATTTTCCTTCAAAGAAGTTCTGTTATACATAGTGTATTGGCATATTTTCCACAACTGGGTTGTGTTATATCCTCTGGCAAATGGCCTCAGGTATTCAGCAGTCTGGTCTAGCACCCTAACCAGAAATTTTGGATCCACCATTGGACAGATGTGCATTGAAAGGGTTTAGTTTGACATTCATAGATGTGATTTGTTACAAAAACATTGAAGTATTTGGAGTGGAGCATCATTTATTTAAATCATTCTGCTAAGTCAAGAAATTATTATTCTTAGGCAGATAACTTGTCAAGTCGCATTGAAGAACCCATTTTAGGTAGGCTATTACTAGGCTGAGAACCAGTCGGAGTAGGCCATGAGCCTCTCCTGAAATATACACGAGGTCTATACCTAGGACAGTGGCGCCTTAGTTCCCTTCAAGGTACTCCCCTTGGGACCTCACACACTTCTCCCGGCATCCCTTCCACTTTTCAAAACTGTCTGCAATGTCCTCTTTTGGGTTCTTAATCAGCTGCCTCATCGCATTCTCCTTAATCTCGTCCACGGTCTGAAATCTCTTCCCTTTCAATGGCGATTTTTGCTTTGAAAAAAGCCAGAAGTTGCAGGGAACCAAATCTGGGCTGTAGGGGGGCTGAGAGACCTGGGTGATGCGATGTTTTGCCAAAAAACCCTGCACGAGACGTGAAGAATGGGCAGGCGCGTTGTCATGATGAAGCTGCCAGTCACCACTTGCCCACAGCTGCGGTCGTTTTCTTCTTACCGCATCCCTCAGCTGGTGAAGAACTTCGATGTAGTACTCCTTCATTATTGTTTGGTCATTGTAAATGCGACAGTTACACAGTACCCAGGCTCACTCAACGGTGTCTGCCGGTCAACTGAGTTGTACCACGGGAATGTGGCTGTTCATGCATGTGCAGTACGGTCCTCTCTGAGTGGCTACCAAGTTACATCAAGGCCGCACGACCAGTTCTCACAATATTCACAATGGCTGGATACTTTCCGGAAAGACCTCGTATACGTAGTACTGTACTAAATATATTACGGTATTATTATTATTATTTTTTTTTTACATCAAAGAGATATCCGCATTAGCCAGAATTATTAGTGCAGAGCAGTTCTGGTTTTGAGAAATTTCCGGGTATGGAGACAAATTTCTCATCCTTGGAAAAAAATAGCACATTCCCGGAATTTTTACAGGTATACAGTATAGTCTCGATTTCCGCGGATTTCCTTTACGTGGTTGGTCATTTATGCAGCACCTGGTCACATCGGCAATTATTAGTTACGCGGGAAGCGGCTCGGGCAGGGTGCTCGCTAGATCACCCAGTCAACAAAACATTACCGAGTTCTTCACCCGCCACAGCCAGCCCAAGTCAGTGATAGTGAGGATATGGACTTTGAGGGGTTTGACAAAGAGGCCCTGCAAGCCTCTGTGGTGGATAGTGATACAGGTGAGGGCCAATAATCTGCCCTCTGCCTCGGAACCAACCTCCCATCCCCGTGTACCCAGCCATCTCTTGTACTAACGTAAGTGTTAAAAAACCTAATATTATTGATACAGTCATGCGCTGGTTAGAGTTCTAGATACGTTCTTGGAAACGTGACGTTAACCGAAATGGACTTTGTCAGATCATCACATAAACTTTGTATTTATACTTAAGTGTATGTGGAATACTATATACGTACATATACACTCTTACTCTTAAATCACTACTGTAATGCGATACAGGTGATTAATTTTTATCTCTTGTGCAAAATATATGATGTTATATTCAAATTATTCGCTGTCTTACAAGGATTCCAGCAATGCAACTTATATTCTCCTAACTTTAGTCTGTGATATTATATAAGATAAAAACTGTAAGCCTAAAACCCTGACTGGGGAGAGGGGGGGAGGGAAGCGGGTACGTTTGACAGTTGGCGCCCAAGGTTTAACGCGTGTTTATTTATCAGTCCTTAAGTGACTAAGCTTCTCTCTTATAAAAAGCCAGTGAAATGACCTGGGTGAATATAATTTACATTGGTGGGATTCTTGTAAAATAGTGATTAATTTGAATATAAACAAGCTATAATTTGCACTGGACATAACAATTTTAGTACAGTAATCAATTTAGTACATGTACACTCCAGCTTTGCACTAAGGTCATTTATTTCTTTTACGTTTCTTTTAGTATGGAGTGTGCATGTAAATGGATGAAAAGAAATGAAGAAATTTATGTAAATCTACCCAAAAATACAGTTGAAAAACTTTATATTATAAAATGTACTACAGTACTGTACACTAATGTACTACAATTTTTATCTCGAGCAAAATATATGACGTTTATATTCAAATTATTCGCTGTCTTGCAAGGATTCCAGCAATGCAAATTATATTCTCCTAACTTTAGTCTGAGATATTATATAAGATAAAAACTTTAAACCCTAATGAAACCACCAAACTTTAGTCTGGGAAGGCAGGGGTAGGGAGGGAGCCAGCGAGAGTGGGAGGTGAGGTGTAGGATTTTGATTGACAGATAGTGTCTGGTGAAGTGGCTGGGCAGATGGGGGTAAGGAGATACGTAATGACAGTTGGCTCTGAAGGTCTGTGTGTTTATTTATCAGTCCTTAAGAGTGACTAAGCTTTTCTCTATTAATTTGCCACCCAAACAACCGGGGAGAATATAATTTACATTGCTGGGATTCTCGTAAGATAGTGATTAATTTGAATATGAACATGCTATATTTGCAATAGACATAACAATTTTAGTACCATAATCATTTTGTACATGTACAGTACAGGCTTGCACTTAATTCATTCGTTTCTTTTAGTATGGTGTGTGCATGTAAATGAATGAAAATAAATGAAGTGGTCCCTTGTTAACCAAGGGACCACTGTATTGCAGTGTACTTGTACTGTACAATACTTTTTACTACAACGTACGTATTGTGTCGGAAAAAGGGTAGTCTGGGGGTCGGCCCAGTCTCTATTTCAATTAATCCCATATGTTCTGTTATTTCGTTTACGCGGACTTCCATGGGTTTAATTGACAGAGTAAACCGAGACTATACTGTACTAGGAAAAGTTTTCCCAGAGTCTAAACTATGCATCCCACACAGACAGACACTGAACTGTATATATTTATGCAAAAATCGCTGTACATGCAAAATATATTGTAAATACAGTAAAACCTCGATTAACCGACCACATATGGAGGGAAGGGGCCGACGGATAATCCGAAAGGTCGGTTAATCGCACATAAAGTCTACGGAAATAAAACATACATTTTCAAAGTACCTTTCCCTAACCTACCCTTAGCCCGGGTGGGCTAAGACCCGTTAAAAAAAAAAAAAAAAATTAAGAGCTCGGGATCGACGGTTAATCCGAAAGTCGGTTAATCGAGGTTTTACTGTATACAAAATATACTATTGTTTATTTTGGGCTTAAAGACCAAAAAATTTACCACAATGTGTTGTGGTTAAGCAAAATTTCATTAAAGGTTAGGTTTGGATAGATTAGGTTAGATTATGTTTGGTTAGGTTACATGATGATTGGGTAAAACTGAAGATGTAAAATTTTGCTTTCTGGTTATTTTGAAAACATCCTCAAAGTGTTTTGATCGTTTTCGGTTTTTGAGCCTAACATACACTATACTTATCAGTAGATGGTGTCATCCTGAGCTTGTGATGCAGGCCAAATGGTGATATGATAACACAGGATAGCCTGCCTTTGTCCTGTAGCAGGTGTTGGTAACTGTCACTCTCCTCTCCCTCCATGAAGGAGGGATTGTCCACATGCAGGGTTGCATTGTTTAGCGATCGGGATACATTCCTGAAAAACAGATCGCTAAGTGATTTGATCGTTGAGCGAACAGAAATAAGAAATATCTTAAACAATGGATAATGGAGGGATATAGTTCGTGGAGAAGGCATGTAATTGTGTAGATGAGTCACCGACTTGCCACCCAGTAGCACTCAGAGGAGGTAAGGCCGAGCTGTGAGCTCTATTATTGTTCAACTCGTAATTTCGGCCTGTATACGTAATTTTCTTCATTTTCTTGTATTCTGAAACATGCACACACATTTGTTGACATAGAATGTGCAGACAAAATAAAAAAAACTAATTGTCATAAGGTAAAAAATGTAAAGGGTATACATTAAACAGCAGGTAGCTGATAAGAGTGGAGGGGGAGGGAGGAGTAATCACAAGTACACAAAACCTATAAATCAGTGGAGATGTCTTGAATAAAAACAAAAACTAAGGTGCTCCAGTGTTTCCTTTTTCACACTTACTGAATGTACAGTACATTATTTGTAACTTTAATAATTTTTTACATCTTAGCACTGCTTTAACAGTATTTTTGTCCGATTATATGCTGGTACAGTAATGTACTGTACTGTACTGTACTGTATACAACACCTGCAATCTCTCGGAAATTCGTTCACATGCCCGGAATTGAGATTTTCTCAGAAATTTCTGGAAATGCTCATGATTCCAACCTTGGAACTCATTCCCATGCCCAGAATGGAGAGTTCTAGGATAATTGCGAGATTACTGTACACAGAGTATGACAGTCATAAATGTTTTAATTATTGTTTTTACTCACACAGGAAGATACCAGTGGTTGTATTATGTGGTGCTCCTGGATGTTCCAACCCAAAGAAATACTCTTGCTCCAGGACAGGCATTCCACTGTGCAGCCTCCAATGTTATAGTGTTAATATGTCTGTTCACAAACCATTTATTACTGCCTAAATGTTCATTATATATAGAAAAATATATACCTGTATATTTATTTAATGTGTGTTTAATAATCCTAAGGTTTGGTTGTACTGTATTGGTAACTTTGTGAAAACATGAACATGAACCCTAGAGTTCTTTGATAAAATCATTGCTAATTACAGTGGTCCCTCGGTTAACGAACACAATTCGTTCCAGAAGGTTGTTCGTTAACCGAAACCATTGTTTCAATGGGATTTTGGGTAATTGGTTCCAGCTCACCAAAAATTACATACAAATTAAAAATAAATGCAGTAAAGTACACTTACTTTGAAGTGTGCATGTAGAAGGCTCCAGGTCGATGATGATGATGGGAATTAGAAGTGGGGGTGGAGGAGAAAGGAGAAGAGAATGCATTGGGGTGGAAGAGAAGACACCCCATGCTTCATGTCGCCATTTATATACAGGTATTGTCAATATGTAAAATAAACTTCAGAATGACCAATAATTGTACTGTAAAAATAGTTTATGTTCAAGAGAGTCTCAAGCAAGATGCTTCTTCCACTGAGCAGGGACACACACTGACGCCATTTTGGGCGAGTCAAGAGGCTGTTTAGCTCGCTAAAAACTAGTTCCCTGTACTTCCATTATGTTAAATAATTGTTAAAATGACTAAAAATTTTAATATAAAACTTTTAAAATTATTGAATAGTACAACCTTCTTGATATTTACTCAAATGGTAAAGAATTTAAGCCCTAGAACCGATTACTGTACAGTATAGTCTGCATTTATGCGGTCATTTGAACCCGTGGAGGTCCGCGTAAAACGAGAAACGCGTAAACAAAATAACAGAACATATGGGATTAATTGAAATAGAGACTGGGCCGACCCCCAAACTCCACTTTTTCTGACACAATACGGATGTTGTAATAAAAATAACATCTTAATTTTATGATGGTATGCACACACAATTAATAATAAAGAGAAATATCAATAATATTAGGTTTTTTAACACTTACGTTAGTAGAAAAGCTGGGTCGACACGTGGATGGCGGCTGGTTCTGAGGCAGAGGGCAGATTAGTTGCCCTCCGGTGAAACACTTTCACTTTCACTACTCGCAGAGGTTTGCAGGGCCTTCCAGACAAACCCCTCAAAGTCCATATCCTCACTGTCACTATCACTCTCACTGACTTGGGCTGGCTGTGGCTGTGGTGGGTTGCGGGCGAGGAAGTCCTCAATACTACGTTGACGACTAGCATTGATGTTGTTGAGATAGATCTGGATATACGGCTCCATAACTTTCGTCAGATGGTTATTAGACACTTCATACGATGCTTGTCTGGGTCGTTGTCAAGGATGAGCTTCATTTTCTCCCCCAACGCGATGATTTCCTTCACATTATCATGGCTTGCTCCAGGTAATTCAAGGTTTTTCTTGGGTGGTGGGGGTCCAGCAGAAGCCAGTGTGAGGGGAATAGCGGGCACAAGAGAGAACTGTATACGCGGACTGAGAATAATGAGACTGGCCCGGCTAGGTCAGCGACTTCTACCCTCTGGTGGCAGGGCACGTCATGTTACATTAGACCAATCACAGCTAGCGGCGGAGGGAATGCATGGGTGGTAAGGATGCGTGGCCCAATCCCAGTCTGATACGTCATATGACGTCAGCGATAACGCAAGAGCGGCCTAATGCGCACCACTCACCGCGCCGCTTCCCGCGTATGGTCAAGAATAGACCGCGTGAGTAAAAAATAGTGCGGCGGTCTGGACCTCTCCAGCTGCTCACCGCGTAAATAATGAAATTTACCGCGTAATTAAAACATTTCATTTAGGCAAGGCACAGCGTAAATGACCAAACACGTAAGCAAAAACCGCGTAAATCCAGACTATACTGTATTGGCGGACTAATATTACAGCTGGTGAGCAGCCGAAAGCAAGCGAAAACATGTTGGGAAAAATTTGTAAGGAATTCGTTAACCAAAATTTTTTCGTTAACCGAAGTGAAGAAGCTTATGGAGGATAATTCGTTAACCAAAATTTCGTTAACCGAGGCATTCGTTAACTAAGGGATCACTGTATTCCACTACCAAGTTTATTGTAAGCCAGATCCAATGTACTGTGAATAATGCTGTATCATTATGAAAAAGCCATTTGTAACTTAAAAGTTATTGAGGAGTTTTAAATACTGTAAATATAAAAATATAAATGAAAATTATATATATATTTTTTATGATCAGTTTCTATCATAAACAGGAAACAAACCTTCAAGAGATGAATTGGATTGATCAATATGTCTACAATAAAAGAGCTCTTAGTATTTATCTTAGTGGCACTAACCCACCCATTTCAGCACTGGTCATTACCCAACAAATACATGAAGATACCTTGGCCCAGAATACACTTTAAGAAAAAGAAAGAATGATTGGTTTTGTCTGTGCAAGTTAGTACACAATAATATACTATATATTATAGTTAAAATGTACCTTTGCATCAATTAAATTTGACGAATAAATACTACTGTATTTCAAACATCTCGACTTTTAAATATTGATCCTAAGTGCTATTTACATGATTCGAATTCAAAGCACAAGAGGAGGAACTGACCGACGTACACAAAACCAGCTGAAGTCTGTTCACAAGAAGAGCACTGGTGGTGGGACATTCATACAGTGTGAATGAATTTTTTTCATAAATTTTGTAATAGTTTTCAAAGGTGCCAACTTTCTGAGACTTGGATACCTGATTTGATAGGTTCTACTGTATAAGACTGTTTTACATAGGCCAGTTGTATTTTGATATCCTCGTGTTGTCCATAAATCTATTAAGAGAACACCAGTGTGATCTGTAATTTGTAATTTTATCAATAAAGTGTTAACACAAAGAATCGTTTACAAATAATTCAAACATACAATGAATATGTCAATTGAAGGAGCAGCTCTTGTTCTTTTGGTCTTATGTTGCAGGCAGCTACCCAATCATAGCTTATCTCTTCTTACTTCATCAGTCAACAGCATCATGCTCCTCACAAACCCACAATCAGTTGGCGCTAGATACTTTGTGACAAAATCCCCCAGTTTGAGACCTCTCAGAAATTACACGTTTATTGTGTTTTGTTTTTTTACGGGGATTAGCCCACCCCGACATAGGTCACTGACCCACATCGGGGCCTGGGAGGCGTAAATGTAATAATAATAATATTTCATAGTAAATCAAATTTATAATAAAAATGCAAAATTTAAAATAAATAATAAAATAATGAAAATAATAAGAACACTAATAATAATAATTAAATAAAGAACCATAGAGAAACACAAAAATTAAAAAAAAGATCGTAAGGGAAAAACAATATGTGTGTGTTGTGTTGTCAATAGTAAGAGAAACAATTGAGACCCTGCAATTGTGTGTAAATGAGGCAGAAAGTCAAATTAGCAACCTGGGACTTGGTCACAATTTTCGTGATGCCATATGGCAGCAGGGTCTACCATTAGACAACACATTAAGCTTCCAATATTTTCCCAGGCGGTAGTACCTCCCTGTTTGGTAGCTGCCTACTACCTGATGTTGGTCAAGTTATATAACTAACATACAGTACATGATTCTGAAAGTACAATCCATGCCAGTGGTTCTTAAACTATGGGTTGCCAAGTTGTTCAAATGGGTCACGAGACCATTATTGTTGTCAAGGTTGCAAACAATTCACTTTGGTCTTCATTTTACTACTGACCAGTACACACACAGTGTGGCTTGGGTCATGCCTTGTCAAATGATACTATCTGTTCACGTATCAATGACATGTCGTTCAGTCAGTTCAGCCATCAACTGGTCAGTGATGACTCCTAACTGCTTGTTTGTCACATATCGAGAAGACATGGAAGAGTTGTTTTTTCTTGCTGGCTGCTAGTCATAACTATGACAGGCTGTGTCATTTTTTACATGGTGGATTGCAGTGACAAGGAACCAGCCATCCATGCTTGGAGCACAACAAGGCTTTGCTGCTTGTGTGAAAGAACTGAATCCAAATGATTTAATCATTCATTGTCTTCTTCACCATGAGAGCCTTGCTTTAAAAAAAGCTGTCTGGTACCTAGTCTAGGAGATGTAAACAGAAACCAGATATCAGATGAACAACGATGTTATAGAGAAATCCGAATGCGATAAAAATTTAGGAGTAATGATAAATAGGAATCTTAAGCCAAGTAAACAATGTGTATTTGCTTGAAACAAGGTTAATAAAGTACTTGGGTTCATGCAAAGGAGTGTTAGTTACAAGACTAGCGAGGTCATCCTAAAACTATATCTTGCGCTTGTGAAACCTCACTTGGATTACGCAGTTCAATTCTGGTCACCATATTACAGAATGGATATAGAATCCTTGGAAAGAATTCAGAGGAGAATGACAAGACTAATCCCAGGCATTAAGAACCTTGAGTATAGAAACAGGTTAAAGCATCTTAATTTGCCCTCCCTCGAGAGACGTAGAGTGAGGGGCGAAATGATAGAGGTGTATAAATGGAAGTCAGGGCTAAACAAAGGGGACATAACAAAGGTACTCAAACTATCCAACCAGTAGCGAACTCGTAACAATGGTTTTTAAATTACAGGGAAGACAAATTTAGATTTAGGCGAGAAATAGGTAAACATTGGTTTGGAAATAGAGTAGTGGATGAATGTAACAAGTTACCAGACTTCATCATTAACTCGAATATGCTGGATAGCTTCAAACATACCGTAGGTTGGATGGATATATGAGCAATAGGGATTGGGTGTAAATGGGACTGCCCAGTATGGGCCAATAGGCCTGCTGCAGTTTCCCCTATTCTTATGTTCTTATGACTGTCGTTAAGAAGGAAGCAGTTCAAGTGGTGAACTTAGCCAAAGCATGTGCACTTGGTTCGAGGTTGTTCTGGAAAACGTGTTCTGACTTTGGATCTGAGCACATCCACCTGCTGTGTCTTTCGGTGGTCAGGTGGCTTTCAAGGGGAAAGGTTCTGGAATGAGTTATGGCCTTGAGAAATGAGCTTGAAATATTTCTCAACCATTTTGTCTCGGAAACAAAATGGTTGCTCCAAATGGCTTACCT